TGAGCTCTGGACGTGGGGGGTGGAGCTGCCTGCCCTCCATCCTCACCACTCTCTGTCCCTTTGTCTTCCAGGGTTGAGGTGAAACGTCCCAAGTACTGATTTCTCCCGCGTTTCTTCCTCCCTCTCCTGGAATCCTGGCCTGATGGGAGCTGCCTTCCTGGAGCCTGCTGGTGTGCTGTCCTTGCTCCACACACCATCCACTCTCTGCTCAGGGCTGGGGGCTCTTCCCTCCCTCTGTTCTTTGCTGTAGAGCCTGTGCTGTGTAAATGTTGTAGCCTTAATAAAACCTCCTTAAATTTGTGTGTGAGCATCTGTTTGTGTGTGCAGGGAGGAGGGGCCTGGGCACATCCTGGCCTCCTTTGGAACAGCAGGGATGCTAGGACTCTTTCTCCTTACCAGGAGCTGACAGGGCCAACCGTTGCTCAGTGTATTTATTGTGGGAGCCTTTTGGGCTAGGGGCAGCATCCCTGGATAAAATTAACAAATTTGAGGGCAATAATCCCAGCTGAGCGTTATGTGCCTCAGCTTGGGAGGAAGAAATGGGACGCTGAGCTCAGGTACAGCAAGAGCAATGACCTGAAGCAGAGGCTGTGCAAGCTGCTCTTAAGCGCTGGCAAAGGGCTGCTGTGGGTATGGTGGGGCCAGCACCGGGCAAAGCTCGTTCCCTCAGCCCAGGGACAGCTGGGCGCTGGGATGGCCACTCGGGCAGGGGCGCTGCTGGTGTTTAGGGGGGTCCCTACAACCCCCAGACCCTGCAAGGAGCCAAAGTGGCACCTGGTCCCTGGCCGCCCCCTCCCCTGGGATCAGAGAGGGGAGATGACGGTGGGAGTTGGGGAGCCTGTGGCGCTCCCAGTGGTGAAGCGCTAAAGAACAGGAACACACGAGGCGGGCGGGGAGCGACCTGGTGAACTGGGGCCAGGGGCGCCCGTAGCCTGGAGCCCCGAGGGGGGGGAGCTCCGAGCGGGGAGAGCCCCGAGGCGGTGCCACCCCGAGGCGGTGCCACCCCGAGGCGGTGCGGTCCCGCAGCCGGACCGGTCCCGCAGCGCCGGCGAGGAGCGGGCGGGCGGTCCCATGTAATTAGAGGGGCGGTATATGTAAATGAGGCGTGGCCATGCAAATGACAGGGCGCCATGGCGGCCGCCATGGAGGAGGTGAGCACGCGTGGGGCTGCGGGAGCCCGGAGCCCCGGGCCCGGTCCCACGGCCCCGCTGTCCCCAGGAGCCGCAGGAGTCCCCGGAGCCGGCGGCGCGGGAGCCGCGAGTGCGGGACACCCCCGAGGACATCTGCCTGGAGGCCACGGCCAACGCCATCGCGCTGCACCCCGCGCGGCCGCTGCTGGCCGCGGGGGACGTGGACGGCGACGTGTACCTGTGAGTGGGGCCGGGGCTGGGGAGGGGTCCCGGGGCTGGGGAGGGGCTCCCCACTGCCCGCGGCTCCCGGCGAGCACTCCCGTGCCGGCAGGTACTCGTACTCCTGCACCGAGGGGGAGAACCGGCAGCTCTGGTCCTCGGGACATCACCTCAAGTCGTGCCGGGACGTGGCGTTCTCCCAGGACGGGCAGAGTGAGTGCGGGGCACGTGGGGAGGCACCGGGGGTCGCCGGGCGGGGGGCACTAACGCGGCTCTCCAGAGCTTTTCACTGTGTCCAAGGATAAGTCCATCCACATTCTGACAGCGGAGGAGGGACGGCTGGAAACGCGCTTCCCCAAGGCGCACGAGTAAGTCCATGCAGGCGGCTCCTTCTGGGCACAAGAGCCGGGGCATTGTCCCCTTCCTGGGCCGTGGGGAGAGCCCGCAGCGCTGCCCCGGGAGCCGTGACCGTGGGGCCGGGGTCTCTGCAGAGCAGCTCTCAACTGCGTGCTGCCCATCGACAACCACATCTTTGCCACGGGTGACGACGGCGGGGCAGTGAAGGTGTGGGACCTGCGCAGGGGCAGTGCCATCCTGGAGGCACGGCAGCAGGAGGAGTACATCAGTGCCATGACTGTGGATGGCAACGGGAAGCTCCTGCTGACAGCCAGGTACCGGAGGGGCTTCGTGGTCTTGGGGTCGGGCTGCCCGTGGCTGCCCGTGGCCGGAGTGCCCTGTGCCATGTCCGTGCTCACAGCGTGTCCCTTCCACGTCCCACAGTGGTGATGGCACCCTGGGCGTGTACAACGTGAAACGACGGCGCTTTGAGCTGCTCTCGGAGCCGCAGAACGGCGACCTGACGTCTGTGGTGCTGATGAAGGTTGGCACTGCTCCCAGCACGGAGCAGGATCCCACAGCCCCCCGTCGTCGCTCTGTTTTTGTTCTGCCTCTGTCTCACTGCCCTCCCTCGTGCCCAGAGGGGGAGGAAGGTGGCGTGTGGCTCCAGCGAAGGCACCATCTACCTCTTCAACTGGGACGGCTTCGGGGCCGCCAGCGACCGCTTTGCGCTCAGGGCAGAGACCATCGACTGCATGGTGCCCATCACGGACAGCATCGTGTGCGTGGGGTCCCTGGACGGAGTCATCAGGTCAGGGAGCCATGGGATGGAAGGGATCTGAGGGATTGTGGGGGGTGAAATGGGATAGGGAGGGGAGAGGGTGGTGGGATAGGAAGGGGAGAAGAGTGGGCTGGGGATGGGGGGGTGGGATGGGGTGACAGGGAATGTGGAGGATGGGATGGAGAGGAATGGGGAGGTGTGGGATGGGATGGAGAGGAATGGGGAGGTGTGGGATGGGATGGAGAGGAATGGGGAGGTGTGGGATGGATGGAGAGGAATGGGGAGGTGTGGGCTGGGATGTGCAGGGGGCGGTGTGGGCTGGGCTGGGCTGTGGAGGTGTGGGCTGGGCGGCACCGAGGAGCGTGTGGCACAGCGGGCAGACGGCGTGCCCGGCGCTGCAGGGCCCTCAGTGCCCCGTGCCGTGCCCAGGGCGGTGAACGTGCTGCCGAACCGCGTGCTGGGCTGCGTGGGGCAGCACCTGGGCGAGCCCATCGAGCAGCTGGCCGCGGCCGCGGACGGGAAGCTGCTGGCCAGCAGCGGCCACGACCAGAAGGTGAAGTTCTGGGACGTGTCGGCGCTCGGCTCCATGGTGGTCGATGATTACCGCCGGAAGAAGAAGAAGGGCGGGCCGCTGCGCGCCCTCAGCAGCAAGGCGCTGGGCAGCGGGGAGGATTTCTTCGCCGACCTGCGGGACGAGGCCGAGCCGGAGGCGGCGGAGGGCGGCGACAGCGGCGACAGCGACAGCGACTGAGCGGCCCCCTCAGCGCTGCCGCCCCGCCCGGCGCGGGGGCGGGGCTCTGCGCGTCCTCCTCGCGGGGCGCGGCCAATCACAGCCGCAGCCCGTGGGAGTGCCCGCCTACGGGGCGTGGCCCCAGAGTAATGCTACCACTGTCAGTGGGCAGGACGCTGGCGTTCTGATTGGCTCCTAGGGCTGCCACTCAAGCTGGGCTGTAGGCGCGGTCTTAAAGGGGCAGCGCGCGTCGGAGCGGGTGGGGGTCCGGGCATGGTGAGGCCGAGGGTCCTGCCGGAGCGGGGGAGGCCCTGAGGGGTGGGGGCACAGGGCTGGGGCGAGAGGGACTGGGAACGGCCCCTGGCTGGGGTCCGTGAGGGATGGGGAGGGTTCTGAGATGGGGGGTTCTGGTCACTGACTGGGGCAGGGGTGGCACTGAGGGTCCCTGGTGTGGGCAGTGCAGGGATGGGGTACATGGCTGAGGGCTCCTGGTGGGGGGGTTATGGGGGAAGGGGTCGTGCTTGAACATCCCTGGTGAAGCAGGGGGGTGCTGAGCTATGGGGGGACAGGGCTGGGGGTCCCTGGTGGATGAGGGGCTGCTCTGAGCTATGGGGACAGGGCTGGGGGTCCCTGGTGGGGGATGCAGTGCTGGGAGGGGAGGGGGTAATGCTGGGGTTTGCTGGTGAATTTGAGGGTCCTTTGGGTTGTTTTGGGATGGGGGGAGGCAGGGGTGCTCAGGAGGGGTGAGGGGGTGACATGGTGTCCCGGGGTGCCTGGCCAGGGCAGACAGGTTCATTGCTTTCCTGTCCTGCTGTCCCAGCAGGTCAATTACCCTTTGTTAATTAAGATTTTAGCTCTGTTAGAAATAAACTCAGTGCCTTTCACTTCCCAGCGCCTTGTGCTGATGGTTCATCCTCATGAGGCAAGGACTCCTGCTGTGCCCCGGGAGGGACAGACTGAGTGCAAGAAAGAGCCTAAAGAGTGCACCCCCAGGCTCTTGGAGGATCCTGGGGATCTCCAAAAGGAAGAGGGAAGGGACTTAGGTGGGTCACAGGGTGCCATGAGCGGGGAGTTGGGTAGACACAGGGATCCCTCTGGGGCTGGGTCCTTCCCTGGGGATGAGAGATGGCAGCAGGGCCTGGAACAGGGTCAGACACAGCCTGCACCTGCTGGGGAACGGGCAGGATCTGGTCTGGTGCAGTTCCACCAGCATTGCTACTCCTGGCTGTGGATTCCCATCCCCCAGTGGAGTCCCAGCACTGCCTGGGAGCCCTTGGACCACCAGCTGCAGCCCCCAGTGCTGCTGGCCCAGGGGCTCATTCCTGGAGCTGGGGGTGGGCAATCCACGATACTGAGAGACTCCTGGAGCCCCTGCAGAGCATAAAGGGGTGTCCTGGTTTGAAGGACAGGTGTCTGCTAAGGAAGGCAGGAGCCTCCCATGGAATGGTTATTGTTCCTTAGCAACAAAAACGGGGGAATATTCCCTAAGACAGAGAAAAACAAAAGGAAAAACCTTCAGCAAGGTGCTACCAGATATCCCAGAGGGCCATCAAAAGACACAGAGGACATCAGGAGGGACTTTGAGAAGCCTGAAGGGTATCAGAAGCTGGTCAGAAAGAGCCCAGTGAGTACAAGACAACAAAAATAAGGTGTTAGGGAATGCTGCTTCCCACACAATGTGCCCACCAGGCTCTGAAGGCTCCAGATCCCTCCCTGTCCCTTCCCCTGCCTCTCCTCTGTGTGGGGGGAGCACTGAGATGCACTGGACAGGCAGGGAGCTGAGGATGCAGGAGGCAAAGATGACATGACCCAGCTGTGCTCTCCAGAACTCTTTAATCCCAAAAGGACAACGTGTGGCCAGACCTGCCACTCCTGAGGAATCATTCATGGACAGCTGCCAGCTCCACAGCTGCTTCCTCACTATGCAAACAGGTTACAGGCACTCCTCTCCCCACACAGCAGCTCCCCCAGCCCACAGAACATCTGTGACCACTCTCCCTGTGTGTGGCCCTGTCCTCCCCTGAGGCTGCTCCTCAGGAGCCAGCAGTGCCAGTGCAGGAATTCCCTCCATCACACTGGCATCCAGTGCTGGCAGCCCCTCCAAGAGCTGCTGCTGCTTCTCCAGGATCTGCCCATCCAACGCAACACAAACCGGCTTAACAGAAGCCAAACTTGGAACCAGGAAAACCAACAACCCAAAACTAGAACCAACTCAAGGGCTGCCTGGACACAGCAGCCCTTATCCTCCAGAGCCAGCTCTCAAAACCGAAGCAAACAACTCCAAGGAAAGCTGGAACAGGGCCGGGAGCCCAGCAGGGCAGGGCTCAGTCGTGGCTGTGGCAGAGCCAGCCTACTTCAGCTGGCACCCTGCAGTGGAGAGGGAAGGGTCAGGCTCTGCCCTCACCCCCACACCCCCTCCTGTGCTTCCAATCAGAACTCCCACCTGCAGCTCAGAGCTGACAGTGCTTCAGCCAGCCTGGGTCCCTCCCTGCCCCATGCCACCCTCCCAGAAGTGCCACAGCTCCACCCTCCCGGGGACCCTTCGAGACTTTGGGGAAGGCAGGGAGCTGGCTGTGCAGGGACTCACCAAGGACTCACCTAGCAGCCGGAGGACGTGCAGGGCTGCCACCGCCTTGGCCTCCTCGTGCTCGCTCTGGCCCTGCCTGTCTGGTGAGATCCACATGAAGCCACTGATGGGCACACGGGACCCCGGGATCACCACCTGGTACCAGAGCCGCTGCCACCCGTTGGGGTTCACCTGGACACGCTTGGTCATGAACAGGGGTGTCCTCAGGTGATGCTTCCAGCACAGCATGTTCAGGCACTCCAGCACGTTCTGCAGCGACAGGGGCAGGGGCACTGCTGGGCTCTCACCCCCCGGCACCCTGCTGGACGATGGCTCCTCCTCACAGAGCTGCAGCTTCTGCTTCAGCTGGGGGTCCAGCCAGTCCACCCTCATCCTTGCTTCCCCGAGCCTCAGCTTCCCTAGGAGACAGGAGATGCTCACCTACCCTCCAGCACCATCCCATCCCATCCCATCCCATCCCATCCCATCCCATCCCATCCCATCCCATCCCATCGATCTCCAGGATTTTAGGGGCAGCTTAAATTTAGGGCCAAGGTAAACAGGTGTCAAAGCCAAATGCACCTCAGCTGGGGCAGGAATGGGTACAAACCAAGACTTTGGAGGTCCTGGCTGGATGTCTGGCAAGTGTGTCCCATCAGGGCACTGCAGCCAGGGGACAGGGCTCAGAGGGTTGCTTCCCCGAGCCTCAGCTTCCCTAGGAGACAGGAGATGCTCACCTACCCTCCCGTACCATCCCATCCCATCCCATCCCATCCCATCCCATCCCATCCCATCCCATCGATCTCCAGGATTTTAGGGGCAGCTTAAATTTAGGGCCAAGGTAAACAGGTGTCAAAGCCAAATGCACCTCAGCTGGGGCAGGAATGGGTACAAACCAAGACTTTGGAGGTCCTGGCTGGATGTCTGGCAAGTGTGTCCCATCAGGGCACTGCAGCCAGGGGACAGGGCTCAGAGGGATTGAGCAGCTCCATCAGGAGTGTTTAAGGGACACTGAGGGGCTGGGCAGCCCCACTGGAAAGGTTGAGTAACTTGGTTAATGTTCAGGATGCCCTGAACTGGTGATGCTCCTGCTCTGAGCAGACAGCTTCCTGGAGACCTCCAGCAGCCCCTTCATCCCACCACAGGCAGGACTGCTGGAAATCAACTGCACCATGGGCAGCTGGCATCCCACAGGACATAGGGAGAGAGCAAGGGGTGTCTCAAGGCCGAAGTCACCTTGCAGCCAAGTCTGGAGGTGGGAAGCCCAGCCCAAGCAGCATCCCTCAGCACCACTAACCTTCCATCAGGGCTTTCTTGGCCAGGGCAGCAGCCTCGTGTGACCTGTACTTCAGCACAGCGAGCTTGGCCTGTTTGTGGGAGGGGCTGGCGTGCAGGGTGACCCTGCAGATCCCCTCAGTGACCTCGTGCAGCGTGGCCTCCAGCTCCTGCTGGCTCACCCAGGCGCCCAGGCCGTTCACGACGAGCTCGCGCTTCTGCGTGCTCCAGCACACCACGATGGCGCAGCCCTGGCGCAGCTGGAAGCGGTGGAAGGCGGCGATGGCGCTCTGGGCGTCCTGCCGGGAGCCGTACCTGGCGTAGGCGAAGCCGCGGTTGAGCCCGCTGAAGGTCATCATGAGGCGGAACTCGTAGAGCCTGCCCGCGCTCTCGAAGAGCGGGATCAGCGTGTTCTCGTAGACGTCCTGCGGCAGCCTGGCGATGTACACCTCGGTGCCGGCCGGCGGCGGGCCGCCCACCCAGCCTGCGGGGACACGGGGACCACGGCGGGTGAAAACGGGACCAGGCTCCCGCTACTAAAGGGATTTCAGCATTTATTGTAATAAAAGAAAGGCCTAAAGCCCACGGGCTGAGCAGGAGCGTTCCTGTCGAGGATGCTGCAACGCCTGAGCTGGGTCTGCTTCAGCAGAGATGTCCCCGAGGTTCCAGGGGCAGCAGCACACCTTCCCTGGCTCAGATGCCCCTTTTATCCTGTTTTTTGTCCCTTTGGATTGGTTTCTGTTGGGATCCTTCATTTGCATGAAGGTTTTAGGCGCTTGACTGGTCCAGTGCAGTTCTGTGCAGGCTGGCTCCCTTGGGGGTGGTGCACTTCACTTAGGTGTAATACACTACGTCGAGTACCATATTTCTTACAACTACCCTTGTAACCCCCGTAGCTATGATATTTTATGAAAAATCCTCTGCTAGGATTTTTCCCGTCCTGAGGAGCTGAGAGCCTCAGGAAAGAAATGTAAACAATAACTATCTGCTGCTGTGGAATGCCACAGGTGCATCTTCCATTGGTCCATGTGGATTGTTTTCAATTAGTGACCAATCCCAGCCACCTGTGCCAAGGCTGTGAGCAGTCACAGGATTTTGTTATGCATTTTATTCTATTTTATTCTTGGTCTTTGTAGCCTTATGATCATATTCTCTGTTTTTTTAGTATAGTTTTAATGTAGTATTTTAATATTTATATAACATAATAAATCAGCCTTCTGAACAAAATGGAATCAAACCTCATGTCCTCACACTTGGAGCATTTACCACAACAAACCCCTTTTACCATAACCAAACGATAGTACATGCTTAACAATTATTAACTATTTTCCAACAGTTTCTAACCTATTTTTACCCAGGGCGAGTCCCCTCCCGGCCCCCTGGCCCAGCTGCTCTCCTGGCATACCTGGGGGGGGCCCTCCGTAGCGCCTCTGCCCATTGATTTGCACCAGCTCGATGCCCGTCTCCTTCTCCCAGGCCAGCAGGGCCATCTTCCCGGCCTCGTTGATGCCGTTGGTCCATGGCTGAAGGAGGAGATGGTGGTGGTGATTGTGTGAGCAAAGAGCTCGCAGCCTCCCAGCTGGGAGCATCCCAACCCCATGAGGGAGCTGCAAGATCCACTGCTGGCCCCTCTGCTCCCAGGCAACCTGAGCAGCCTCCCAGTGCTCCCATCCCAAGCACTGTCCAAACCTGCTCCACGTGACACAAAGTCCTGCAACTCTGTTAGAGCTCCAAGTCAACAACAGTTTCCTACAGCCCTGCAAGGGCTTGGGAAGCCAAAACACAGGCAGCAGCTGCCTGCTGCAAGAGGGAGCTGGAGCACAGAGCCAAGGTGACCCACTGCATCAGGACTGCTTTAAAGGGAAAGCCAGTGGGTTACATTGAATATTGGGAAAAAAATCATCCCTGTGAGTGTGGTGGGGCACTGGCACAGCTTGGCCAGGGAAGCTGTGGCTGCCCCATGCCTGTAAGTGTTCAAGGCCAGGTTGGATGGGGCCTGGAGCAACCTGGGCTAGTGGAAGGTTGCCTGCCAGTACAGAAGAGATAATATTAAAGAGAAACAAGAACTGGAAAGCAGGAAAGCAGCTGAGTTATTATTACTGTCCTTGAAAATAGAACAGCTGCAGAAACAGCTACAGGAGGACAAAAAGGAAAACAAGAGTTGGAGGAAATAGTTTAGCTAATGCTTATGCGGTCTCCAAGTGCTCCTGACATCGTGCAGATTACAAAATTAACTGCATCTCCTGAAGATTGGCCAAATCCTTGGCCTGGTTACAAAATGAGATTAAATTAGAAAAGACACAGCCTTTAATGAACAATTGTCAAGGAGTGCTACTGACATTTTAGAACACTGAGAAATCCCCACCTGTGCAACACTAATTGCATGCATTTTTGGTATCACCACGAAATTCACTCCATCCCACAACTCAGTAATATGGGTGAGATGTGGGATGGAGTGATTTTCATGGTGATACCAAGAATTCTACATGTAATGTCAGACTAATTGACCATTCCCAAGAGCTAGGATTTACAGGTTGTCCACCGAGAAAACAGAGGTAGAAAGAATTATATAATCAAGCATTATTTTCAAGAATTCAAAAAATTTCAATTCTCCTCCCCGGGGCAAAGGTGAAAGAAAACCCTTAATAAAGTTATTAAAAAAAAAATAAGCTGTATAATTTCCAACAGGAGCAGTTTCCTGGGTCCTGTTGGAAATTATATCCAGGGTCCTGTCACAGCAGGATGGGGTTTTTCCGAGCATGCCACTTAAATGTAACTTGCTTCAAACTGGCCCTGACCAACGATACCTTCACTGCTTAGCTCGACTGCATTTTAGGGGACAGATCAGAGATGTTCTGAATGGGAAAAGGGACTTTTATTACTAGTCTAAGCAGTGAAACGAGCTCACATTTTCCATATAAGTAGGCACAATGGGCCACAAAGGCAGAATTCAATGGGTTTTTCATACCCCATATCACCCCAGTCAGATGGAAGCACAGAATGGGCTAATGGCCTATTGAAAAAGAGCCCGAAGCCACAAAGGCTGAGGGAGATGCTCAGGGTAAATAATCGCTGTGGCCCAGGTGTGCCTTTTATGCAAACCCTAAATGAGGTGCTCCACTTTCCACTCAAGGGGACAGTCTGACAACTTTACAATCAGGACAACGTATTCTGTAAAAGTAACACAAAACAATGCCTGAGACCAACTAAACCTCGGGACACACTCACTTGGGAATTTATGGACAGCAGTGTCTAAAAAAGTGCAAAACAGAATTAGTGCACCGTGGCTTTTCCCTGTTTTTAATGGGATAATAACACGTCCGGGCAAACCCCACCGAGACTTGTATTATTTTACCTTTACAGAAAATTATACTGGAAATGATGCCAGCATGTCTCCACTGAAAATCAAGTTATCCATTGAAGGACTGCTTATTCTCCCCACAGAAGGAATCAGCACCAGAATGAACCAGACTGAGCACATAAATCACCAAACCTCACCCACCGGCTGGAAAGTCTCACTTTTTCCATCTGTAATGGTCACTGTGCTAATGGCTGAAACCATTGCTGAATGCATTTCAATGACCATTGCTAAGGAAGAAGCCATAATTGTACAAATTTAGGAGCTCAGCCTACTAAAATGAATTTGGCAGAGGGAAATATAACTGTAATATGTGAAGCACAACTTTTAACCAAAAAAGGGGGAAATTTATTTATTCATCTTCCAATCCTGACACAAAATACGAAAGGGAAGTTTTGGTGGAGATATAATGTACCCACAGCTGTAAGCGGGTAATGCATACTGGCACAACAACAACGGATTTAAACCTCACCATGTATGCCACTGCCTCCCAGGCTCCTGGGAAATCTTATCTCCACAAATTTCTAAAAATGGACATTGTGCCGTCAAATATACCAGCCAAAACAAGTGCTACTGAACCCTTCATGTTCCTCACAGCAGTGAATTATCAGTGCAGGTTAATATGTCTGCAATCAAACCTGCCATTTCTGCCTAGTGCCGTGCACGGTGGTCGGCAGGGTGGCATGGCTGGACCCCCAAAACCATCGGGGGGACAGAGAGTGATCCTGGGGACAGAGCTGGGAGCACTAAGTACCACGGCTGCTGGAGTCCCAGCAAACAAAATAAACTCAGTAACAAGTGATTTATACTAATTGAAAGATCCGTTTTGACCTTATCAGCATTAGGAACTGGCCAATGGCCCTTATCAGATACCTCAACGGGAAAGGATGGAGATAAAGGCTCGCCAGCAAATCGTGATAAATAGTGATAAAAGATCGCCAGCTAATAGTGAATGCCACCAGCTAGTGGCACCTCTCCACCTCCAAGTCTTTCATGGAGACTAAAAACCAACCTCGGCCGAGCGTGGGGATCCCTCCGGAGAAACACGTGCTCGAAGCGGGATAAAACCCGGCCGCGTTCCCTCCAGAGCCTCGTGCCCGCCCGTGCCTCCCGCCATGGGTCCCAGCTCGGGCAGCGGCCCGAGGGGTGCCTGGGCTGTGCGGAGAGCTCTGCAGGAGCCGGCTCTCCCCGCACAGCCCCCGCTGCCAGCGGGGCTCCGGCCCCGCCTGACCCCGGGGCGCGGCGGCTCCGCGCCCGGGCCGGCACCGGGACCGGCACCGGGACCAGCGCCCTGCGCTCCCAGCCGGGCCCGGGCTCGGATCCCCGCGGGAAGGGCGCCGGAGCTGAGCCGTGCTCACCTTGCCGTCCATCCCGCCGCCGCTGCCTGCCCTTCCCGCCGCTCGCCACGCTCCTGCCGTGCGGGCCCGGGAGACACGGAGCCAGCGCCGCCCCCCGCACCGCCCCACCCCGGATGGACCCCCGGCAGCCCCGCAGCGTCTGGCCTGCTTAGCCTCTCCTTCTTGCACTTGTCCACCTGTACGCAAGGGAAGGCGAGGGGCTGCTGTAAGAGGTGCACAGCACCGCCAAACTCTCGTACCAGAAGCGACAAGGTTGGAAGAGACCTCCAAGACCACCTAGTCCAACCATCAGCGTAATTAGACTTCAGATAACAACGTCCCGAGAATATATGCCGGGTTTGAACCGGGTTTGAACCTATTTGTACTTGCAGAGCTGGAGGGCTTCGTGCTGCTTTTTCCAATACCGGATAACAAAGGCGAATTTGGGGGGTGGGGGTTCAGAAACATCTGAAAGAATCCTTCAAACAGTGTCTGATGCACAGGAGAATGCATTAGCCCAAATCTGCACCGCGTTAGGAAGTGCACCTGTGTGAGACTGGGCTGTTCCTGGTTCTTGGCTCCGTTTGTGGGGGCACCCCGTGCTTTGCTGGTGAGGACCAGACTTTTTGGAGCCGTGCTGGTGAAACCTGATCTGTACGAGCCAGACAGGGTGACACCCACCACCAGAGGCTCCGGGGTTAGAGCCGGGTTAGGGAGAAAGCGGGACAGAGCGTGGTGCTTGTTTTCGTGCCAATGTCCTCCCCTGCCCCCGAGGAAGGTTGACATTCACACAGGACATTCACCAACTTGGGGCTGAAGGCTTTTGTCCTTTCTGATGGGGCAGAACTGGCTTAACCTTGCTTGTAGTCAGAGGCAACCACTTAACCACTTGAAGTCAGAGGCAGGGTCATGTCTTAAAAGGGCTCAGGAACCACCAGAGACCCTTCAGACAGAGTAAAATTCCCCTCCCCAGGGGAGGCACCTCGTGTTCCATCTCGGCCTAAGTGTGTATTTACCCACTGACCCTGGTGTTCCTTGGGCTTTCCCCCACCCCTGATGGATCAAGACTGTGACCATGACTCAGACGGCCAGACACCAAAATTGCAACAGTCAAGTCTCTTCTATCAAGCCTAGTTACTGGATCCAGGGGTGGTGAGCTCTTTCACTCTTATCCTTCCCTCCACTTTATCTTTTACACATTTTTTTACCTGTTATTCTATGCTTTTATATTGTTGCATTGCTATAGATAACAACCACACTGGCTACAACTCTGCTTTCCACTGCTTCTAAACAGATCTAAGATAGACCCTACATATTTTTATTTACAAACACCACTCATTCAGTGTCATTTCACCTCTGATGCTCCCCAGTGGATCTATTTACCAGAACTCTGGTCAGTCCTGCTGTGGCAGCTCAGCATTTCAGGGATGCAGCCCCACTGTTCCAGACCCCTAAGAACAATTCCAACCCTCCACAGCATTGGCACTTGCCAGGCTGTACTCACTCATTCCAAAAGGCCCCAGAGCAGCACCACAGCATCTTGCAGGTCCACATAATGAGCAGTATCTCACAAAACTGGGGGAAAAGGAAAAAAAATACTATAAACCTTGAAATATAGACATGCCCCAAAAAACATATCGAAGAAATATAAATGGAATACAAAATTGTAATGATTTAAAAAAAGTTTAAAAGTTTTTTGGTTTTCTCCTTAAGAAGGAAGAAGTAGCTCATCCAGCCAGTCTGCCTTGAGCTGTCCTTTATATTTCTGAAGATAAACTGCTTGGCTATACCACTTTCTTGGTAAAAATCCAAGAGCAAGTAAAAAGGGAAGTTAATGAATCATATCCAAGGGAAAAAATACTGGATAAAAAATTATCCAGACTTCTAAAAACAATGAAACACATCGGGCTGCTGAAATAGGTTCTCCCCACCCAAACACCTGCAAATGGAAATTCACTTTAGTGAGTTAGCAGTGCTGCTATAAAATTTAACTAGGCTTCTTAGTATTTTGAGTAGAAAAATGACTGATTTTTCCAAAGAGTTAGCAACTCATTCCCACCTCTAGCTAACGTCAGCTTGCTTTTCCGGGATGCATCTCAGCAAGCCAAGGTGTTGCCACTAGATGGCAAAATGAGACTGAACCTTCTCTCCTACACAATCTCAAGTTTTATTCGTTGGATGGAGATGAAAGAGAAAAAACATTAATACATTTTTATCCATTTTAATTCTCTGCCATTTGTCTGGAGAACAGTAGCTGCAGGTATTCACTATGTGAATGGGAAGGTGTGTTATGGGATCGAGGTGAGATCCTACTGTGCTGCTACTCCAATCCAATCTCTGAGAAGAGCCCTGACAGACCAGGACTGCTCCAATGGACAATTTCTGTGCTGGCCCTCCTTCATAATGAGCCAGGGGATAAAAGGAATTGTCTTAAATCCACTTATAGTACAATACATGTGTACAGTTTAAAATATATGCAAAATGCTTCTTTATAAGAAAGAAAAGCCTCTTATTCACGTTATTTTGAAATAACGATGGAAAGTTGAAAAGCATGGGGTATTCAACAATTCAGCTCCTTGGAAACTCTAAGCCAGTCATAGAGAGGAACATAAAGATTGAAAACAAAACTAACATTAAAATCAAAACCATACCCAAGATGATGTTGGCTAGCAGCAGCTTTTTTTCTCCGAGTCACCTGTGTATTTCTGGTCTGTGAAATTCACTCTTGAAAACTTTCAGGACTGACAAAATCTTTTCCTGAGAAGGTCTGAAATGAGTATGTGTTAGTGGAAAAGCTGTAGAAACTTTTTTATTTTTCACAGCATTGCAAAATCACAAGTGCTTTTTTTATTGGTCAGCAAGCTATTGAAATATTTTGCGAATTGGAAATCTATTGGATCAGAATCCAGTTCTGAGTTTGTGTATGGACAGGAACACTGCAACTGCAACAATGACCAAAATCCCACCTTGGCAACCAGTTTACAGTATAAACTCTGCAAGTGTCTGTAGAACTGAAGCTACAAAGTAGCTTTGTTTAGGTTAGAAAACAACTGCCTGACTGAATAAAAGGAGATCACTTAGAAACAATGTCAGAGCCAATAAGCTGCTTATGGGTGTTGATAGTTCATTTGATTAAAACACCAAAATGGGTTGAGTTAAAATGATCATCATATCTTTAGCTGTCAGAATAGTCGATATACTTGAAATACTGCTGTTTAAAAAAAACTTAAATGAAACAAAAATCATAACTTTTGTTCCAGCATCATTCTGAAAGAGAACAATTTTTAGATTTTAAAATAAACCTGTACAAAAAAACAAACAAACAAACAAACAAAAAAAAACACAACAAAAAACCACAAAACAAAACAAACAACCTACCCAAAAAACCCTACCACAGCCCAAAAGGAGGCAAAGCAAATGGAAAGGCTGTTATGGAAGCACTGAATGAGAATTCCTCAGGCTCCAGCTCCACCCAGGACAGCAGCTCCCACAGACTGGTTTCCAGTCCAGCAGGGAGGTTCCCAGCACAGCCCAGTCCGCAGGGGGGACAGGAGGGACAGGGATGGGTGGCAGCCACAGCAGGAGCTGTTCTGGCCAAAGGGAGCTGGGCTGGTGGACAAAACCCCTGGGGAATGGAGCCTTGCAGAGCCAAGGTGCTGCAGCTCCCCTGGCTGGAGCTGGGCAGGGAATCTGCTTTGTGGCAGCACGGGGGAAGGGGTTTGAGCAGTCAGCCCTGAAGGGTGTGTGTCTAACGGGCTTCATCTTCACCTTGAGCTCCAAAGTCTCCATCACACTGCTGACCTGAGGCACTGGTGTGTTCACTGGCAGAGTTCTGTACCTGAAGGCACTGTCAGTTCAGAGGGGTCCTGTCCAAACCAGGACATTTCCAGGTGTCCTTTTGGTCCCTTCTGTGCCACAGGACAGCTGACCCTCTCTGGCAGCTCCTGAACTGAGCAGCCCAAGCACTGGAGGAGAGTTCTTCAGTCCCAATTCCTCCTTCTCAAGCTTGCAGCAGCTTTTCTTGTTAGCCGAGTTCTTCAGAGCTCATGAGAACAACTGACTGCTAGCTGTCACAAAGTTTATCTCCTTTTTTCCTTCCCTCATCTCCAACTTCCCTTTCTCAGACTTAGCAAACATTTTTTTTCAGTCTTTCCTCGGTAGTCAGCTCTGTTGAGGCCACCTAAGGGTTCTCTGCATTGGTTTGCAGCATTTCTGGACAAACCAGACACATTATATCACTAATGACCCAAACAGAGTGGAATAAAACACGTTCCTGAGCAAACTGTTCTTGCTAGAATATCTCTAAGTATTTGCCGTATTTTTTAGAGGACTTTAGTAAATATTTGATTCTCATTGGTTTCTGAATAGAGTCCAGCTGCACTCTACAGTGGCTGTATTTTAGGATTTCAGGCCTTTTGGAATTGCCTAAACTCCATCTTGACACCTGCTCAGAGGAACACAATTCACTGGCAAGGGAAAAGATGTTTCTTCAAGTGTGCATTTTTTTTTTCCATCCAGGAAAATCTTTGCTGAGGATTGAGTTCCTATAGAGAACACTTTGTTTGTTTGTTTGCTTTGTGAACTTGGATTTGAAGCCAGTGTCTCAGACACAGTTTTATCCAAGCCATACCTTCCAGAGGCAGGTAGGTTGGTTGGCATTTTCCTCAGCTGCTGTTCCCATAAAGTCCCACAGTTACCAGGCTGGGGAGGGAGCCTCGAAGTTCCATTCCTGCAAATTGCTTTTTCAAATTGGCCTAGGTGTGAATGTGAATATCCTGATGCTTTCCCCAGGGGCAGTCTCACCTGAGCCAGGTGTGTAAGGGAGGACACTGAGGTGGTGAAAAGCATTATCCCCCCTCACAGGGTCTGCTTCTCTTATCTCCCTTATTGCCTCTGAACCCAGCTCTTTGCTAAGCAAAGGTCGCTTTGTTGTGCTCATCCTCCTGAGGTGGGTGATGAAAATACCTGAAATTTCAGAAAATATCTGAGGTTTGTCCACCACACATCCAAAACCTCTCCTTCCCTTCGGTCTGGCCTCAGCAAAGCACCAAATTAATGCTGACATCTCAGTCTCTTGCAGTTGCAGGTAGGTGATAGAGCCTGGCATTGGGCATGCCATGTTAAAAGGCAGCTGTAGGCTGTCTAGGGTAAGAATTTCCAGGGTAAAAGGAAGAATCTATCCCAGTCTTTTAAAAACAAATTTGGGCAGGACAAAATAAAATCACTTCATAAAGATCCACTTTGCTTTGGGAGCGAGACGAACATGAAGACAAAATTCTTCCAAGGTTTGAACTTTTTTTGTTTGGCTCTAAGGATATGGACACCTAGCCTGAGTTACTCTAGAAAAATAAACCCTTCTGAAAGTGGTTCAAAGCCCTTGACTCCACTTAAAACTGGGACAGAAGAACATCAGAGAGAGGTGAGAGAAAAAGGAAAATGTTGCTGCTCTTTGAAGGCAGCAGAATGTCGGCAGTGTGAATTTCCCCCCTCTGTTGCCTAAAATGGTTTGAGTCTCACATTTTCAAACATCAATCCCCACACCATCACTGCATCAAAAAGAATTACCATTGGCAGCTGTTACTGAGGACACACTTTTTTGTGTGAAGGTTGTGTCCCTGCAGGCTATAAAATACCTATGAAACACCTAGTTCTTTAAAAACAGGGGAAAAAAGTCTCAATAAAAAGATATGCACCTGATAATAGCAGTAAAGTCAGTGTTCCTTAGCTTTTGAAAATCTAAGAGCTTAAAATCCAGCTCATGAGTTTGCCAGCTGCTGTAGTATGTCTGAAAATTAAAATATAGAAAATACAAAGTGATGTTTCCTCAGCAAGCCTTACTGGGACACCACATCAGATGTGCTTATGATGTTACAAAAGAAGTTGTAGAGAAAGACAGTGCTCAAGCTGGTGTGCAGCTGGGTTTTGCAAGAAATGCATGAAATCTGCACATAGCTATGGTGTACTCAGTGCCACAGACAGGATGCAGGCAAATAATAATAGATACATGTGTTAGAAATTCTGTGTTAGCTGCTCTGAGCCTGGGAGATCCACTTCAGAGGTAACTGCTTTCCTCCTTTCTCAGCATCAGAAAAAACAATGCTGTAATTATCCTGTAACACCACCAGCATAAATTTTCACCAGACTAATTAGTTTCATATTAGTACAAATAAGGAGGAACACAATTGCAATTAGATCTGCTACACTGGGTTTGGGCTAGAAACCAGATTAGAAGGTAATGAAACACAGAATAAATAAGCAATTAGAAATTTAACACAGGCTTCTTCCTGTCTCCCTGCTTGTTTCCCTGTGACATCCAGGGGCTGTGATGGGATGGCTGAGCTGTAGTTGTGTAACCTCCCCTTTCCCACTGCTGACAACGCACCAGCAAAGCGACTTTTCCTTTGGGGATTCTTTGGCACCAGCTCATTCAGTCCTATTTCATCCCCAGACCTAGAGGTGATAATATTTCTGTGATATTGTCAGGACATGCCTCAGATGATTCACACAGGTAATTTCAAGTAAGAACCCAGAAAACACAGCTGTAGCATGTATTTGATAAATGCTACTCTGCCTAGAACAGCTCTGACAGCAGTTTAATTTCAGGGAGTTTTAAATACCATGCTGCCATCATTTACCAGAATTTCTCCAGAAAAAGTACGCTACTCTAAATCAGGCTCTGAATTTCAGAAGGAAAGCTCTTACTGTGAAAACCTGTAGGTTTGATCTCCAATAAATGCACTCCTGTGCAACCTGCAGATTGCAGACAGGGTTAGGAGGCCATCAGTGACTGGAAACAAGAGGGATGCATTTCATTTTTTCTTAAAAAGAAGAGGAAATTTCCTTCCCAGTGCTTCAGAACTGTGCCCCTATTCTTACCAGTGCAGGGGGCTCAGGAATTGCCACTGTTTGTGCAGTCTAACGGAGCAGTGAGCCCAAGGACTCACAGCAGCACAGCTTTGGGAGGAGGCTCCACAACAAGAAAAGGGAGAATGGACTTGCTGGCTGTTTTGAAAAGCCAGACACATTGAATAATTGGAATTATTCAATGAAATCTCAGCAAAGGCACCTGCTGATAGGAGGGTGCCTGAATTGGTTGTGCAGGACACATGAAAGTCTATCATGTCCCTGTGGTAATAATATGGTTTTGTGGATTCATTTTCAGATACAAAAATCCTCATAAGAAGTAGCCAAAAAATGAACTATTGATACAATGGCAACAGAATAATTTTTCAAATAAACTTGTACATTTTTAGTTTCACTGAATGATTCTTTGTTTGAAGGGATGCTGACTGTAATTCCCTCATTAATTCATTAGTCCCTCATTATGTACAGCTCTGACAATAACCTTTAATTGTACAAAGAAGGATATTTCAGGTACTGAGGTAAATTAAAGCAGTTTCTCTTAAGTGAACATTTTCTTCTTGTGGGGGGGGGTTACCAGAAGAGTAACCCACACCTATGCAGAAAATATGACAATATTTTTATGCATGTATAATGTGAGTAAATAAATAAATATTTATGTATGCAATTAAAAGCAATTAGGGTCCATAGGCATTTACTTCTATGTAGCAGGCAGAGCATTTTCAAGCCTCTGCTGTGCTTCCTTGTTTACTTATTTATATTCAGAGAAAGGAAGTGGTGAGGCTGACTAGCTGAAACTTCTCAGAGAAGAGACCATTTTGTACCAGAGGAAGCAGTGTCTCTGTGCTACGAACTCACAGCGTAATTTCAACTGACCAGAACAGTTCCTTGACAGAAGCAGCTGGAGGCTGGGCAAGGAATTCCTTGGAGGTGGCCACGGAGAGGGAATCCATGGCTGTGTCATTGGCAGCAGGGCTGTGAACACTCCCGAGTGCTCTGGGGAGAAAACCAACCATGGACCTGCGGAACGTCCCCCACCGCTCCGACGTGCTCACCTGGGACCCAGATGACTTAGCAGAATATTTCAGGACGGTGAGTTTGGCTGTGTTTTGTCTTCATCTGATGGAGGAGCAAACTGCTGGAACATTGGTTGGGCTGAATTCAGACATTTTATAACAGGCAAAGCTCGCTGCTGAACTAAAAGCAAAACCGCTGCCAAATGAAGAGTTGGGCTCAACCGGTCAGTGAAAATGGGTCTTGAAAGGGATTTTTAAATTGAGTATAAGAGAAACTCGTGGCTTAGTTAGAGAAAATAAACAGGTTGCTACAATGCTTGTTGGTGTGACACACGTTAACAGCTGCAGAAGGCACTAAGGTGTGAAGATTACAAGTTTTCTGTTTCATCTTCAATGATTTTCAGAAGTGATATTTTTTGCCAAATTTCTGGGTGTAAGAAAGAACCTCTGAATGTCTTTGTTAATCACATCCATGGCTAGACTTGTAAAACTTGGCACACCTCAGGCTTAATTTTGAAATAACGTGAAGGGTTTTTTTTTTTTTTCAATGGCTCCTACAACTCTGTGAGACTCTAATCTGGGGAGTTGAGGCAAGTTTGATAGTAGAATGCAGAACTACTTAATAAAGATGAGCAGATCAAACATAGAATCTGTGTCTACCAAATCTCCAGAGAAGTGAAACTGCCAACTACTCACAAGCCCCTAATTTTAGGGTGCGGGAGTTAGTGGCACAGGAAAGTGAAACCAAAAACTGGAGATGGAACAGATGAGATCATTATCAACAGGTAACTTCAGACAAGTACGAAAAACATTACAGCAGCGGTGCAGAGGGAAGTTGGACCATCATTTCCAAGAAATTAGGAAGGAAAAAACGGCTTTCAGTAAGATCTGATGATAATATTCTGAAGAGTGAGGAAAGGATCAACTGTGAGTTCTGCCATAACTGAATGCACATTTATCTGTAGTGCCTCCCTTCTAGTGATCAGGACACTCTCCAGAATGGAGATAACCAGGGCAAAAGCTGTTTGGGTCATCTAAAAAGTCTGGGTAAGACGAGAATGTCAGCCCAAGTCAGCCAGCTCTGGGCACCTGCCACAAGTGACCAGATCTTATCCCCAGATAAACTCACAGCATATTTATACTCAGAGATATATATAAACTCCAAGGTATTATCACTGAGATAAACCCAGAGAATGTTATATACTCAGAGATATATATAAACTCAGAGATGTTATCTCTGAGATAAACTCAGAGAATGAATGAACCAAATTTTCAAATAATTTCTGGGGTTTTTTTTGTTTAGAAAAAGCAAAGATGTTCATATTTGGGATATTCCAAGGTTTATTTCTAATAGCTAAACAGCATTTTTTATCAATTATTTTTATAATATTATTTTTATAATATTATTTTTAAACATTTATAATAGTTTCCAATATTTTCAATATTATTCTATATCAATATTTTTTAATATTTATAAATTATTTTTAGCATATTATTATTTTAATGATATTTTTATCAATTATTTCAAGATTGACACACAGTGATTGAACACAGTGCTGTGTTGCTTCCCTCTGCATACAGATCTGTGCTGGTAACATCACGATAGCATTCACTGTAGGAAAGAAATTATTTACAGGTTTAAGTCCTCAGCTTGTACAAAAGTGTTAATCTGTATCCTAAAATATTTACCTGATTTAGGTCTGTTTCTTCATATGAATAACTGAAGGTGGCTCCTGAAATAATCCTCTCTGCTGTTCGGGTGTTTCCAGGCTCTGTACAGCCAGTTACAGTGTTACACCTTAAAATGAAAAAGGGACAGAACTGCAAGGGAAATAAAGCTCCCTGCAAGAGCTGCTCTGCTGTGGGGGAGCTGTCCCAGCAGCACAGGCTCCTGGGCCTGCAGGACTTCCACTGACTGAAGTTTCAGACAGAATAAGAGTTATTCTTTTGTCTCGAAGTCTCCAAAAGTCATTTTGTCTGCTGCTCTTTGGGCTCCTTCTGATATGGACCTGACCAAGTTGAAACAGAAAACCGCCAGATAATAAATATAAATATATAAATACAAATATCAAATAAAAATTATAGAAAGATATACATAACTATATAAAAATCACACAAAAATTACATATAAATATAAATATAAATATAAATATAAATATAAATATAAATATAAATATAAATATAAATATAAATATAAATATATATAAAAATAAAAATATATAAATAAATAAATAAAAATATAAGACATATAAATTGTGTTCTTACATTATGGGATTACTGTTCAAATTAAAAAAAAACCCAACAAAACAAACAAAACCAAACAGAACAACTGTTGGAAATGTTTAAATGTCCTGTCTTGCTCTGTGGTCAGCCTGTACCTGAGCAGCTTCTAAAGAGCATATCCTTGTCCTAAATGCTACTGGAAAACATAACCCTGTGCAAAAGCTTTACAAATATTATAGATCATTTCCAGGATTAACAAATGAGATTTCCATCCAGAAGTGAAAGCTTTTTGATCACAATAATGAATTCTGTGCCTGGGATCAGTCAGCTTTAGCATTCCTGGATAATAGTAGGGCTTTTGCAGCTGCTCATCCCAGTCAGTACCACAATAATCCATTTTTTCAGATATTTCTTTGGGCCAGGCAATGGTGAGGTGGTTTGTAAATGTGAGGAATAACGTGTTCCTAAAAGGATGAAAACCTTTAAAAAGGATGTCCGTCATAAAAATCCATGTTTATGGGACAAAATGAGCCATTTAGGCAGGCCATAGCATACAAAAAGATATCTTGAAAGCATCTACTCAAAGCCAGATTATATTTAAGTGTCTTAATTGATTCTTAGAGTTCAGGGTGCAATAATCACCTTCTTCTCATTGACAGCTAAAGTACAAGGACTGTGAGAAAGTGGTGAGGAAGCACAGCATAAATGGCCAGAGGTTTTTGGTAAGTGGAGCTGTAAAATTCCTTCCTGTAAAATTCCAGCCACGTGATGTTTCTGACTCCTCCTTATTTTGCACTGACAGATGAAGAGCCACCTTCCAGGTGGTTACTGAGGTATAAATATGGGAGTAAATGCTTTTGCTAAAATCAGCCAGACAACTTGAATTAAATATGGAATGCTGGGAGCCCAAGCATGTTGTTCAATATGACTATTTTTTAGTATTTTTTAAACTGACAGGGAAGTTCTAAACAGACAATCTTGTCTTGAATTCTTGAATATGGAAAGTTCTTGTTTTCAAATATTAACTACAGAAAACCCACTTTTATTTATTATCCTCTCATACTAAAGACACAGCCCTGCTCAGGATGACTGGCCTTTCATTGGAATAACTCCTTCATTCCTCTATAGATAAAATCAGATTTCTTCTGTAGCAATACACAAAAGCAATAAAATATAAGACCATCAAAACTAGTAAGCAAAGTCCCAGTGGCTTTAAATCAACATTGTTCAAGGCTTGGTTTCATTTTAGAGAAAAGCTGATAACTTCCACTGGCATAGCAGCTGTTTCCAGGTCTTAAATACACATCCATAAAGATGTATAGGAGCTTTTAGTATTACTGTTTTTTACTTTTATTTTCAAACATTCACCATTCTATTTCCCCAGAAGTCATATTTTTTTTCTATTTAATTACTTATAGTGGGGAGATCTCTGCATACCTCCTCTAAAGTTTTGTATTTTTCATTTACTTGTCCTAATATTGAAACAAAACATAAAACTTTTCAAGCCCATGTTGCAGGACCAGGATTTGAGCCCTCCCTGCTGCTGGAGGGTGCAGTGAGCATGATTCAGGTGTGTCATGGGCTTTGTTCTACCAGCCCCAGGAGATTCTCCTCAGCTCAAGCACTGAGTGGGACTTCTGCCTCTGGAAGCACAATGACATCCTGGGAGTTTGTGAGGTGCAAATAGAGAGTGCAATAACCCTGTGATTTCTAAGTGATTTTTGTGATTTTCTGTTATTTCCAGACTTTTCTGTAATTAGCTGAGTGCAGCAGCTCTCCAGAGGCTCCCAGCAGATTTGAAGGATGTTTTCTACTGAGCAAGCCAAGCAGCTGCTCACCTCTGCTCAGACTCTTTTTAAGCTTTTGAATTGCTTGGCAATTGTATAATGGAAAAAAAAAAAAGGAAAAGGTTCACTTGTTAAACAGAACCACAGAGGAAGATGTCCAATAAAATATTCCAGAGTACAAAGCAATCTGGAAAAAAATCACTTCTCTTTATGAATGGTTTTCCTAAGAAACATCTTTTTGCTCAGAAGCAGCTGTTCAGGCTGAGTTCTGCTGGGTTTGTAGCTCTTGTCAGATCTACATGATAAACCTGGTGTAAAAATGTTGCTCTAAAATTAATCAGAATAACATCCTAATTTCAGAGTCAACTTTCTGTGTCCACTGGCTACCACAAGGAAAACCCTTTTGAGATGCAGTGGGAATAATGCCAAAGGGGTTCCATGTAACTTATTCTAATAAAATTTTCTATTATTTAAAACAGAAATGTGCTCTTGTAAAAGAGTTTATACCTCTAATATTTGTCAGATTTATCACCAGAATAGAACTCTAGAGAGAAGCTTAAAAAGCCTTTAGAAAAAAAATATGATTCTTCAGGAAGTACTGCAAGACATTTCCATAAAAGCAGGACATTCTGCCTGTGTTTCACTCCTCCCAGAGGCAAAATTTTGTGGAAAAACACAGATAGGATTTGTTCTGTCCTTTGACACTGACAGCTTTGTGAACCAATGTCTAATTAGAAACCTATTATTGTTAGGTAAAAAAGACCAAAAGAACCAGACTACCATCCCTGTTCCAAAGAGAATTCATAAAGCTTGTAATTAACTAAATAAAACACTAAATCAACAAAATCCAAACTCTTCATAATGCCTGAATCTGTCCTAACTGTGGACTTGCAGATGCTGGAGGAAGAGAAGGGATGACTGCAGGAGCATCAGGAAAGGTTTCCAGACACATCTCAGTTAGGAGGAACCTCAGTCCAGGGGCTGAGGGGGAACAAGCAGCCTCCCCCCATCCCTGGATCTGGGAGGATTTTTTAGGTTCTAGTTTTTTTAGGTTCTAGGATTATTTAGGTTCTAGGGGGAACAAACATCCTCCCCCCATCCCTGGCTCTGGAAGGATTTTTTAGCCTGCTGAGGCTGCTTTTAAGTCCAAGGAGTTTTCTAGCTCTGTGTCCCCTAGAACATGGGATTCTTCACGTACTCTGTTGCAGATAAGGTTCTTAGAACAACACTCCAGCCAAAGGTTCTGTATTTTAAACTTTACAGTTCTACTCTGAAATTTTGCAATCATGCACAGTCTTGCCTAATTTCACTGTGCAGACACGAAGGAATTCAATATACCTGGCTTCTGAAGTCACATAAATACCACATGAATTCATGCCACATTTTGAATATATGTGTATGACTCACTTGGATCAGTCACAGGGTGTTCCAGGGACAATTTTGTCACATATCCCATGTGTTTCCTTTCCAGAACATGTCTGAAAATGATATTCAGAAATTCCCAAAGCTCAGAGTGCCGTAAGTAAAGTCAAACTATTTTAATGTTAAAAATTATTTTAGCTGTTTAGCAGTGAAGTCTCATAGGAAATATCAGGCAAATGATTTGTGAGTGATTGGTTAGAGACTTGTTTATTTGAGTGTACTGAGAGAAAAAGAAGAATATTCCAAAATAAAATGAGTTTTGTCATGACTGCTCAAGCAAAATGATACAATACAAGAAGATTGTCTGGGGGATGTTCAAAAGAACTCGTGCATAAATTCTCTGACTGACAGCAGCTCCACAAAGGTTAAACTTTGGTGCAAGTATTACCTTTGAAGTATGACTTAACAGTTCACTGCTTAACTGTTGACTTTAACTTAAAGGAAAAAAAAGTCAGTTATGTCCACAACAGCTGAGAATTTGAAATTGTTTTCATGTGCTTTTGCTTTAGGTGGGTGTTCAAGAGAAATCAGTCTGGACCATGTGATTCAGTGTTCAATAGCTTTTCTCAGCTTCTGTGGATTAGGCCTTGAAAAAGTTTCCAGTTCATCTCAGTAGCTTCCATAATTTCATAGAAGTTACTTAATGAAGAAAAAGAATCCCATTAAGTCAATACTGAGTAAGAGAAATTGGCTTCTTCTAATATTTCATGGTGAAAAATGAAGGATTTTATTTTGCTCTGAGCTCTGTGCTACCTATTTAAGCTGGAGGTTAGAAGGTTTCTAACCATGAGACACAGGGAGCTCTTCAAACAAAGGAGGGAGGAAAAAATGGAATTTAAGGTGCTCCAGCAGGGCTGTGGCTTTGTTGCTCATTTCCCAGTTCCAGACTCCCTCCCTTCATGGATAACTTGATCTTGCTACACAAGATACAGTTTGCTTTGCCTTTTCTGTTGCATCAGAGATTGTGGAAGGTGTTTTGGGGAAGACAAGAGTATTGAAAAATTTTGTGCTCATGGGTGAGCTGTTGGGAACAGCTGTACCCAGCAGGACACCCTTGTTCAGATCAGATATGAAGGACTGAATTTGAGAGCCTTGCATGTGACATATTTCTTAAAATCACATCTATTTTTTTCACATAATAAATATCCTAATAGTTGGGGTTGGTGGTGTACAATATGTTAGTAAGGAGGTCCAGATATTATTTAAAGAAGATGCTCTGATATCTCAGAATTTCTGAACTCACTTTCAATTAAAAGAAACATTTAACAGTGTTGATGATAGACCAGATTGTCAGTGACAGACTCATCTAACCATACTGTAGAACTTGTAATTCTCTGATAATTTGTCCCACCTTAGCAGTCCTTTGGCAGAATTACCTCTTGTTCTCATTGTCTGAGCTTTTAATATTGAGAACTTCTGGTGATTTCCTTTCGAATTCGTGAGAGAAATGTAGTCAGTGGATGGTCTGATAAACTCAGACATACCAGAGATATTAATGCCACAGATGAAGCACTAAAATGAAATCTAACCATGTGGAGGTGCTTCAACCTCCTCATCGAAGCCATTGATAGCTCAGAGTTTGATTTTCCCAACCCAGAAAAAGTGAACAGCCTTTTTAGACAGGTCTTCTGGGTTTCTATGTGTTACACCCCAGCAGAAACTGAACAGCCTTTTCACTCAGATCTTTTGGATTTCCCAACAAGAAGAGAATTTGAAATCAAGAACTTTAAAAGAAGAGTGAAGCTTGGTGCACAGCTTGAGGAACTGAATAAATAAGTGGATATTTAAATCTGAAGAAAAGCTCTGGAACTTTTTCATACTTACAAACAAGCAAAATATTCACTGGAATATGGTGGTTATACATTCAGAAAGGTCCTCCATGTAATGACACTGTTTAAAACAAGAATTTAGAACTTTACTAGGGAAGAGAACTGGTTCTCACCAAAGACAACCAACCAACCAACCAACCACCAAAAAAAAACCCCAAAAAATCAAAAAAACTCAACAACAACAATAAACCAAAAATCCACTTAACCCCAAAACAGCCCTCCTGGATAGAATTAATGGGCAGAAGCAGCTGCCATTTTTTAAAACATTAATTTCTTTGCTTCAGAATCTCCACACCCTAATCGAAACACAAAGTTCTGGCTGGTGATTTCTGCTAGAACACATTCACACTTTTCTTTTGTATCATAATGCAAACCTCAGCTGGTTGTAGCAAGAGTTCTTCTACAAGCTGAAAGAGGCATTAGCATTTTATAGTTACACTACCTGATACTTAATAGCAGTGCTAAAACCTGAGCATACCCTGCAAAAAGCTTAATATAAACATCAGGTGTTACAGCCTTGGCCGGTGACCAAATGAATAAAAGTTAAATTAACAAGAGAGATTGTTCCTCAGTAAATTAGCAGGAATATTCTGACCTGCATGGAGGCAGCACCTGGAATCACACAAGGTTTGCAAAGCACAGACTGCATCTGTACAGGACTCCTGAGCTGGGTGTGGGCTTGCTAAACGTGTATCTGAGCAAAGCCACTGCTCAGGGCTTGAACAGAACTGTGTCATTATTTGGGGATGATTCTGTGACTTTTCAAGAATCAAAAGTAGGTCACAATTGTCATTACAAGGTATGACAGGTCATTTCCTGAATCTAATTGTCAAACTCTACAACCTTCTGTTATTACTAATGAATTATTATTTTGAAAATTCATCTCCACCAGCCCTGTTACAGGTGCATGTCTTCAGAAAACTTCTGGCTTCTTTATAAAAACCAAAAAACCACAAATTTAAGCACTATTTTGAAAATGAAAATACTTCTTAAAATCTTTAGCACACTAAAGAGGGCTGAACTCTTTCTGGAAAACTTGGCAAAAAAAGTTAATATTAATATCACTATGTTTAGATACACACTCGAATCCTCACAAACAACAGTCCTGAAAGAGAAACACTGGTGAGACTGGGAAGGGATTTTGTGTATTTTACACAGAGCAGACACTGACCATCGTTCCTGACATAATCATGAGGGTGTTACTAACATTTTAATAATAAATCTAATGAAGCAAGAGGCCAATTTGCAGCTTAAGAGAAAAAACAGGGTTTTTCTATTGTTCCTTAGCACTACTGCCAGTCAGAGAAGGTAATGAAATTTTATACTTGTGGAGAACAAATTTAAGTCTTGAAAAATATTTTAAAGCACATTCAACAGAATGTGCCTTACTTACTGTGGTCAGAATTCATAAGCAGAAAAAGCAAAGATTTCATTGAAAATAACACTGGTGGTTGGTTGACACCTGAACCATGATATAAACACTGGAATTAGTCTCCTATTGTTTGCTATCTTGAGAGAAAAGGGTTCCAAATTTTCAAGATGCTGTTGATCCTTCTGGCTATTCCAGTGGCAGGTTTATGGCAAACCTGAGATCTGGAATTTCCAGCCTTGTGGAAAAATCTTAAGGCATCTCCCACAGCACTCCAAAGTGTATCCCACAGCACTGGCAGAAATTTCCAGCAGCAGAAAGCTCATGATTGCACTCCTGGCATCTGCCAGCTCAGTGTGACACAGCCAGAGGCTGCAAACGTGGCACAGTCTGAACGTCGTTCTACTTTCAGAAGAGTAAAAGTGCAAACATAAAAACTGAGAAATCTGCACTTTCTCTATCAAAAAGGTAAAAGATGCCAGTGCATGTGCACACATGCTCTCAGCTGGGGTCTAAAGGTTTGGACAGAACTGGTGTTCAGTCTGTTTTGAAGTCAATAACACAGCATTGCATCTGCCCAGCAGTCTTCTCAAGGCCAAACCAAAGACTTGGATCACCATCCATGCTTCTGACAGCGCTCAATGTGCAACTGTGCAGCCTCCTGGCCCCAGAGAAATTTGTCTTCCACCTCCCTTACCCATCTTAAGCCCTTTGTCCCAATACATGTAGAGTGGATTCTACTCATGTCAACAGTATCTGCAGCTGAGTGAACAAAAGCCAGTTTTGGAGTGCTGCTTTGGGGGCTGGTTGTGTGGGTTTTTTAAAAAATTTCAACTTCCTGCCAGTTTTAACTTTAGCAACTGGTGGAGGAGGTAGAAAGAGAATGAGAAGTCTGAGTAACATTTTCTGCAAGTGCTATTGCCTTATCCTCTCCTATCATCCACTCCCACAGCTCAGAGAGCAGTGTGGTTTTGGTACTTCCTTCCTCACAGGGTGACAGGCTCAGCTGCTCAGTGCACCAATCTTCCCTGAGAACCTTTCTTGTAAAGACTGACCTTCCTAAAACTTGCTTTCTTCCAATAAACCCTCTGAGCCATTGGTTTGAAGCATTTCAAATAAACTAGAAGTGAAAATTAGACACTGTATTTTAAGCATGATATGATTATTTTTTTGGCAGCAAGATAAGATGATCAACTTCTGCCTCTCAGTTTTTCCTCAAAAACCAGTTGGTGTAAATGCTCATAGCAGCCAGCCCAGGTTTAGTCCAGAAAGCTTCCAAACACTCAGGTCGCATTCACACCCAGGGAAGTCTGAACTCTAGGAATTATTAGCTCCAAAACCAGAGAACTTCATTTTACTTCTTTAGCTGAAAAAAAAAACCCAAGACATTCTGAAAGATCCTCTGCCTCTTCTACAGCAGGGAATAAGCCACAGACAAATTCCATAACTCACTTCTTGACCAAAGCACTGATGTGTGCAGGGCACTGCTCACCCCAGGACATTTCCTGATGTCTCACATGGAATTTATTGTTCACACAGCAACTTCCTTATTCCCTGCAGCAAAAGGAAACAACACTGAAGTTGGATGTTCCTCAATAAGAAATAATGACAGTTCAGAATCAGATCATGGCTCATCCCAAGCTTTCCTTGAAACAAAATAGTCATAGAGGCAAACTTCGTTAGTAGCAGAGCAGAATTCTGGTGTCTCAGTAGAATTAGCCCTGTGAATCTCAGCACTGACTGTCCTCCACTGGGAAAGATCTCTCCAGGCATAAAATTACAGCCTCTTGATATTCCATTAATATTTCTGCCATGCCCCGAAAATGTATTAAAACATGAAATTAGATCAGCCTTTCCCCTTCTCTTCTGGAGGGATTGCTTGGCTGCAGAGGAAGGAACACAAAAGGAATAGAGAAGAGTTTTAGGGAACATTTAATCCCTGGTTTTGCAGCTCTGTTTTCCTGAAGTATTATTTGCCTTTTTTCATGCAAAATCATACAAATGACATGGCCATTATTTGAAGCAGTGTGATGTCTACAACACCCAAAAATCCTAAGGCTTGCTGGGTTTAATGTTTGTTTTTACAAACAATCCAACAATTTGGGGTTTTACCAAGGGAAAAAGAGTCTAGTTTATAGTTGGATATGCTGTAGCACAACTTAGCAATTGAATGGTAAATTCAGTGTTTTTACCATTTAGTAAATAATAATAATGAGTTACCAGATTAAATTTAACAAATACTGAGGGATAATGGCAAAGAAAATTATTTCGCTGCTTTGACAAGTGATGGGTTTCAAGGTTTTTTTTTTTTTAAACTATTTTTGTTCTTCTGTCCAATAGTATTGTAAGTAAATTAAGCCAAGAAATCAACAAAAATGAAGGGAGGCTCTCCTCTTTCCTTCCAAAATGGTGAGTAAGACAACTCAGCTTTCTTGTTCAAAGCCTTCAGATAGATCTTTTCTGGACTGGTTTTCATTTGATCAATAATGCCTGGATCACAAATGCAGCTTGGAAATTCTATAAAATAAAGCTCTGTTTCATTAATGCCATCTGATATTAAATACCAAATCCTGAGCCCATGAACACCCCAAACACTTCTGCCATGTCCAGAACCAAGTAACATTTGCACATTTCATGCAATTTTCCAGCTGAGCACACAGCCCTTAAGAAGGCCATCAAGCCTAGGCATATATTATTAATAAATCATCATTAATGCATTCCACAGATCTATACATCATTATACCCTTTAATTGTTAATATTTGTCACTGAATATAACATTCACAATAGAAGAGCAAAAATTGCAAGAACATTCTATGAGAAAAGAACAATTTATGTCTTACTCTTTAATTGTTAATATTTGTCACTGACTATAACATTCACAATAGAAGAAGAGCAAACATTGCAAGAACATTCTATGAGAAAAGAACAATTTATGTCCCTACCCAATGAAAACCAAGTCCAGTCTACATAACATGGTTTGGCATCATCTGATAACATTTTACACATTTCTATTCACTAGAATCCAAAACTAGAACTGAAAACCATAAAAACCTTATTTAACCTTACATTTATGAGCTTGATGTTGAAGTTTCTCTTTTCAGGACTGGTAAATGTATTTACTGAGTCTCCTTGCTTCAAACCACTCCACTTCTCTGACTTAAATTCTTCTTGAAACAGTTTAGATTTTATGAGGGCCCTCTATGTAAATATCAACTGATGTGTTTTTGGCATTTTGGGCAGAGTTAAACTCATCTATGTAAACTTCTTTCTACTGTGAACTATTTCTACTAGTGAACTATTGCCTTTATTTGCAATAGAAGCATCAAACATTTAATAGAAATAATTTATTTTTTGTGCCTTTGTTACAGGGCCCAAACACAAAAATCTCCAGAAAACACAGGTAAGTGAATACTGGCAGACCCTAACAACAAGAAGTGTTTAAAAATATTAAAATGTTAAATTAATACTTGCAGAGCAGAGTCAACAGAGGGGAGCAGGGTTAGGAACCAAAAATCCAAAACAATAAATGAAAATATGGGAGAATAAAGAAGTTTCAAAAAGGAAAAGTGTAGATGCAGGACAACAAGTAAGAAAAAGTATTTTTAATGAGAAAAGATGGTGAAGTAAGGCAAAAGCAGAGACTTTTACCTGAGAATAGACAAAATGTCTTTATTTAACCCAATAAATTGTATCAGTGCTTATATATTTCTGTTCCAACATCTCGACCCCTGCCTTTCCTCCTAGCATCACTGTATTAGAGAGGAAAGCTGAAATTAAAAAAAACACCAAACCCTTCTTTTATGAAAGCTAAAATAGTCTCAAACAAGAAGAAGTCTTAAATAAGAAGTCTGGGCTCATTCTGAAAGCATTTTGCTTCAAATTATACAATTTAAATTGGATTAAGTGGGACAAACTTGAAGTGCCAGCACCCAGGCTGTGTCACAGCAGGGCAGCTTTATCTTGGTTTTGAATCAGGATGTGCCCTCATCAGTGCCAGCCTGCCTCTGAAAGAACAGTTCCTTCCTGGGGCACACACTGAGGTCCAGAACTCACCTGGCATTTGCTGGGTTTGTTCTTGTCGTAGTTCTGATGGTCACAACACAAAGCAGCACACTCCATTTTCAGAAGGCTTCAAACCTGTTTTTATTCTAGCATGCATGCTTTTTATACATTCTTACAGAACTCATGCATTTACACTTTGCTCATTGGTCATGAGAGACAAAGTGCTCACTGGAACGGGCAGTTGCAGGTTTCTCTTATTTCTCCTTCTTCCTTTCTTGATTTCTATATCAATGACCTTGGTAGAAAATTCTTTTGGGGTAAACATGGATCATCTTATCAAACTTCTCTCTGGCTCCCAGAAGTCGCTGTGAAACCTCTGGCACACTTTGTGTCAAGTTGTTACATCTCTGACAAAGGTGTCCATGCTCAGAAATGTGTGGTTGTGTTTCTTTGCACAGGGTACGCTCAGGATGATGGTGGCTGGTCTTCATTTGTGAGTATTTGGGTGAAGAAAACCCCCTGGCTCAGAGGGCTCTCTGTTCCTGCCCTGGCTGTTGGGCAGCACAGCTGGGGCAGCTGGGGAGGACAAGCAGGAGCAGGAATGGTGGGAGTGGCTGCATACAGAATTCCTCACTGAGAAAAGGTTCTCCCCAGAAATTCAGAATTGCCTTCCTATTCCACTGCTCGATAGAGGCTCCCAAGCTATGATCAAGTCCCCAGAGAACCACAGCTGAGTTTTACACGCCTGTTTCAAGCTCTTAAATGAGGTGGCTAGAGGTGCAAGGTTGCTGTGTTATTCAATGGCAAATCCTTGCCATTTTATTCTCTAGAGCCAACTTGTTTAACAGTATTTTTTAAAAAAAGCCATTTAGCCTGCAGAAGCTCCTTTTGGCATAGGAAATGCCTCAACAAGGTCTTCAGGTGAAACACACCCACCCCAGCTGCTGATGCACAGCCTGAGTCTATGAAGATCTCTGAGGCTAACCCGTTCTAATGGCTTTTGTCCAAAAATAAGAGGGAGAGGCATTTTTAGAAGCCTCTTGTTACTAAGTTCACAGGAGATTTGCTGGTATTCTGCGAGCACAAGAGATAAAAGTAACCACCTACAGAGCACGTGGGCTCTGTGCCAGGGCAGAGGACTCTGGAAATTCCAGCTGTGGTACCAATGACAAATGGAGGGTTCTTTTTCTCTCCAGCCTTGGCAGATTGCACAGATGTGCAGTGACCATATTGACACTGTCCCCTTGTGAGGTCCTGCAAACGAGGCTGGTTTGGGTCAGGAGGACACCAAGACCCAAACCAAAGACCTCAGTTTTAATGAATTATTTTCACAAGTTAGGTTGCATGCTGTAGAGGGCCCGTTAGAAAGCAAGAATGAATATCAGCAGCATCAACTGCTGCTCCACTGTGTTCCTACAAGCACTGGCTGGTTTTCTGGTGCTTTGTCTGTTCCCTAAAACACTTCATGCATTTCAGCAAACTTGCACCTTTTCTTGACCTCCCACTGCACTCACTGTCATCGAATGAGATTTGTTTCCTTTCTTGAGCTCTTGAGTGCTCCATGCATTAGTGGAATGTTTCCTCCTTTCCCTGTATTATTTCAACAGATTTTTCCCCCTCAAACTGGTTGTGAAAGTTTGGTATTTTCCAGAAAAGACCACAAGGTGAAAGGCCACAAGGAAACTGCTCTGCAGGGTTTAGTGCTCTCTTCCAGCATCCACTTTTTATGCTCATTTGCCAGGATGATGATGATGATGACTATGAAAGCCCTGATGAAGACCAGGAAAAGGAAGATGAGGCTGACTATGAATCACCAACAGAGGAACCTGAGGAAGCGGAACATGACAGTGATGGCTATGAGCCACCTCCATCCAATAATGAAGAAGCACATCACAGTGTCATATTTCCTGCCAAGTCACTGCCAAGCAGCACAGATTATATAGGTAATTACTAAAAATTAAGTGCTATTAATAATTTACAAATTAGATTTTCCCATGTTATGAGCCACATTTTAGGTGGCTGATAATGGAATATGGAAGGTTTTTCCTTGAAGGTAACAGTGTAGTTCATAAGTAAGATTTAGTGATACAAACGCTGTGAGTTTGTGACTTTTAAAGTTACATTTTCTACTTTGGACAAGCTCTGTTGGAATAAAGATTAGTTTTGTGTGATGTGTGCATTACTTGGCCTTTGATTTGCACCTGTATGAAGTCACACACATTACACGCTGCAGTAGCTTTAGCAGTGCAACCTTGGACAGAGCAGGTTGTCACAGCAATGCCAAAAAAACTCTAGTGAAACTTGGGAAAAGAACAATCAGCTGTCCCTGCCTGTCATTGTTTTATGTCTGAATCCTCAGCAGCCTGGAGCTGTGGAGTCCATTCAGGAGCACAAAGCTGCCATTCAGGTTGGCTGGTGTTTCACACACGGTGCTGCAGGGAATGAAATAAATCCTGTGGCCCAGAGCCTGGCAGGGGATCACCCCCAGGGACAGACCAGCCTGGAACTCCCAACACAACACTGATGCTAAAGCTGCTGCCAGTCAAATCCTACAGCAGTGTCTTGTTTATTAACTTCAGTAGCCAGGTTTTTGTATGGGCTCTTTCTCATAAAGATAGAATGACTATTAATAATAATAACCAAATTCTGTGTAGTTGTTTAGTTTGGGATTTCTGTTTTTTTTTTAGACAGACCTACAACAACCAGATCAGCACATCAGCCTCCACATCAGCCTCCAGTACCACCCCACCGACCTGGCCCAGCCTCATTTGGGGGAAGAAGTGCTACTGTATGTTCCTGTCTTAATATCTCACCTATTTTCTACCCCAGGACCTTCTTAGGAGTCCAAGTGTAGGGCCATTTTTATTCACCTAGTGTATGAAGAGGAAGCCTATCAAATCTATCAAAATAGATTCGAACTCTGTTACAAGGTGGTCATTGTTCAAGGAACAATTCAATTTCATGGGAGAAATATATTTAATTATTTTATATTACTTCATTGATTCTTACACTGGAGATATACTCCTACTTGTGAATGCCTCTCCCACATCAATTATATATTTTTAAGGGATATGTCTGTTTTGAAAACAAGGTTATATTTTTCCAAGCTATACTTCTAGCACTTACCCAGTTGAATTAGGACCAGATAAGAGACTGTGTAATCAGAATGTTGATGACCAAGATTTGATTCCTTTCTTTCCTGCAGTGAATACTTCAAAACTGAAAGCTCTTGTGCTGTTGACAGCTGAGACCATAGGTTCAGTGTTTGCCATAACAGATGTACTCTAAACCTAGCAATGTTTACACAAGTAAAGGTTTAGGATGTGATGGAGGGGCTGATGCAGTGTCACAGAGATACAGCAGTGTTGTTGGAGTTCTTTCCTTTGACAATACACCTTCCCTTCCCGAGGAGACATCTCACTGGAGTGTTGGGAGGCACAGCAGATGGAGGCAATTCTGCATCCAACAAAAATCACTGATTTTGGTCTTGCTTCAGGAGGGTGCGTGCTCACTGTCCTCCCTGCAGTGAGCAGAGACCTGCTCCTTATGCTGTGCCACCCAAGACTGGCAGATGAGTGTGGTGGGGTTAATATACTCCAAACAGAAAGGTGAAGACACATTTTAACCACTTGTGGAATATCTGTTCTAGCTGCCAGCTTTCCCTCCTCCACCAAGCAACAACGACTTGAGCAGAGACAGAAACATGAAGCCTTTGAAACGTGAGTACAGCTGGTGTTCTCTTTGTAAAGCTTTCCCACAGCCTGTGCAGCACTTCTTCCTCTTTTCCCTCAGTCCCACTCTCTTCTGCTACTCATGCAGGAGTCTGAATTGTTGTTTTAAGAACAACTGTACTCATACAATTGTACTCATACAGGGGTATGAGTTGTTGAATTGTTGTTTTAAGAAGTAACACCAGTTCTAATCTATGCAAAATAAAGATATATTGACCTGTACCAGCAAATGATCTCACACAGTTGTTGTGTTTAGCCCCAGCTCCTTCCATAGACAGAAGCACCAAACCCTCTCTGGATCGCCTTGCTCCCCCATATGAAAGAGACAGCCCAGGATCAGGTCAGTATTTGCTCACATTAATATCACTGGGGTAGCTTTAATTACTGAAAATCATCAGTTTGTATATAATTAATGCAAAAGAAAAAGGCTCAACCAAATGTAATCAAAGTAATATGTTTATAAATAAATGGTGTGAGGAGAGCTTACAAAGTGGGAGAGAAATTTCATGCAGAAAACAGCAACGCCGGGTCAGACAGGTGAACAGAAATACATTATGAGAACCCTGTGCAATAAAGGTTTGATGTACACCTAGGTGATTGAACAAGGAAATATTTAGTAGGTTAAGGAAGAAACCACCTTTGCATACAAAGGTAATGAAACTCTGCATACACTGCTGTAGGTAATGTGGCAACAGACTTAAAAGAAGGCTGAGAATTAATAAGACAGAAAAAAATGGCATTTCCTTTAGACCTGAAAACCACATTATATAAAACATCTACAGATATGACTCTACAATTTTATTTATTATCTAAACTTTTATCTGTTACATAATGGCAAGAAAGTATCCAGTAGTTCAAAGCTGAACCTTAGATAATGTGATTGTGACATGTGCCATGTTGAAAATGTTTAAATTTCCCTCCAATAGGGAAAGAGATTGCAATTTTACCATCACTTGCAAAGCCAAAATATTTTTGTGGTTTACATCTCAGGATATGATTTCTTCAACCAGCAAGATTAACTTTCAATTTTATTCAAAACTCATTTATTTCATAGGAAGTTTAACTAATTAACTTCCACTTTTTCTAAATGTAAGCTTTTACTGTTTTCAGGGAAGAAGCCAGGCATTCCTGAAAAGGTAATTTTTTTTTTTGTGATTATTGATAGTTTTTGCCTATTTGGATACACTTACATATTCTCTTAACTATTCCTTGTTTTACAGCCTCTGGTTTCACAGCTAAGGTAAGATTTGTTCTTTGCAAATGATCCTCTCATTGCCAGTATTCCCCAGTTATTTTTTAATAAGCAGATTTTGACTTTATTTCATCATCTCACTCTGTTTTAGATCCCTGGGAGAACAGTTAGCAATGATGCCAAAACCTCCTGTCCCACCAAGTGACAGATATGAAAGAGGCAACCCACCTCCTCTAAGGAAGCAAAGCCCTGGGAAGTAAGTGCTTGTGTGATTGAAATTCAGTAAAGAAGAAATGAAATTTAACAAAAATATGCACAAGCAACACAGGATGGTCTGATTTACTGGTACTGCATGACAGCAGGGTCTGTGGGTATCAAAGTTTTGGTTCATTAATATGCACAGGATGTGCTTGAAGCTGCAGAAAGGTGTGAATGCAGAAAAACTCTCCAGTCATATCTGGAAGAGCCATTACGTGGGGCATGACTCACTCCCAAGCTGTACAAAGATATAGATGATCCTTGTTTCTTCCAGCAGAGCAAGTTCTTGCTCTAGGGAACATTCTTACATGAGTTCTATTGCTGTTGTTTAAGGGTGTTAGAAAAGGAAAATTGTACTTTCATCCCATTGATTTTATTAGCCTGCAAAGCTGCTTCTTAACAGGCAGCAGCATTTTCTTAGCAGAACTGCATCATTCCCCAGCCTTTTCTAGAGCACCTGGGGCTGAACACTGACTGTACTTCAAACAAGAGAAGAAATAATTGAGATCTGCTAACCAGCCAGCATAATTGATCAGCGAAGCAAAGCCTGATGTCGTTATGATGTGCTCCAGCAGTGTTGTCAAATATTATGAATTCAAGACTTGAAGACTAATGTTTCATCATTGTACAAGCTTGTTTTAAGCTCTAATCTTACAATCAATTAATCAGACATTTTTCTTGTTGATAAAATCAAGATGGGCTAAGGACTAGAATAATGCATTAGATTATGGCTGAAAATTAGAATTTTAGATGTTTTTGTGAGGAAAAAAGAGTGTTTCTGCATCCATTGATCTTTAAAACTTACTATAAATTCATGTTCTAGTTGAAAATACGGCCTAATGCACATGAAGTGAATGAGTATTCCATCTGTGATGAATGTTTTGTTTTCATTTCAGGCACAGTTGGCCACCACACAAGAAAAATGAAGTAAGTACAGTTTCAAAGCATATATTTATATATTAAAAGTATAGGGGTTACAGTAAAATTAAATACCTGTATAAACTAATAATGCTGGAAAAGGTAAACTTGTTTCTTTTATAAATTGTAAGCAATACTCATGGATCTTTCATGGCACATGGGGTGTTTTTGAACAGTTCTTCTGTGTCAAGCTCAGTTTGTTCCCTGAGAATTTTTATCTTGGATAACAGGAAGAAGAAGGCCAGAATTTCTTCTATGACATGGGAGAAGTGGTTTTGCTTAAAAAAGATTTGAGCTTCTGGGGATTTTTTTCAGCTTAAGCTGACCTAAAAGCTTCACTTTCAGATAACTCTGAGAGTCTACACTTACTTGAAGGAAGTTTATATCTCCTGAGAATTTCTGATTATTTTAGGTCAATATGCTTTATGGGACATCTACCACACATCTTGGTTAAAACTTTAAAGCTTAAAAAACTTCAAAAATTATTTGGTGTTGCATGAAGACAATACACCCAACATTGTAGAGGGAAGTGACATTGTAGCTATTAGAATCCTTGTAATCCTTGCATACTCAAAATTGACCAATGTCCAGATTTTGTTTTGTAAAACATTCTTAAGAACTGTGCTATAATATGTGGCTAATTTTTTTTTTTTTGCTCCACAGGATGAAGAAGACAGTAAGTATTTCTACAGGGATTTTTCAGACTTGAAATCTTTCTTTGTCTTAGTTCTAAAAAAAAAAGTAAAAAGGAAATTACTTCAGTTGTTTTCTTAGAGCCATTTCTAAAGTCAGGTTGTACCTTGATAGGCAGTAGAATTCTTATAAAGTGCCTGATGCAGATTTACACATCAAAGCCACAAACCCCAGGAAATCAACAGCTAATAGCTTCCTTCAGTCAGCCAGTTAGCAGCCAGCAGGATTTCTTATTTTGGAATACATTACATTAGAGAGATTTGTGTTCTGCACACAGCATCAAACAGCTGGAAACAGAAACCTGGTATCTCCCAGTCCCCAGCAAACCCTGCTGGCACCAGGCTCTGTGCAATGTTAGCCACCTTCATGAACAGCAGCAGAACTTCTTCCATGGGCCACCAGTGTTTATAAACTACTGCAGAATGCTGATTTCTGAAACTGAGTTGTAAAGTGACTCCATAACAGAAGCAGGACATTTGGCCAAGCCTCTCTGAATTATCACTGCCCCTAAGCCTCCATAAACAATAAGGTTATTTAAGCTGTGCAGAGCACAGTTAACCTGTTCCACTCCTGCTAGTTCCGGTCTGAGGACACTGTAGAAAGAAAATGTTTTATTTCATGCTGGGAGAAATCTCAGAATGATGTTCAAAAAGGTGAGATCAACTCTGCTATTTAGAAGCAACATGACAAGAAGAAAACACATACCACCTTCTGCAGTTAAGGTACCTGAATTTTGGCTTATCCAAAACAGATGTTAGAAAATGTAAATGTTGCTCAAGCCAGTTCCAGTTTAATTTTAGTTTTAATACCTACTTTTAAGTTCTTAGCTGAGCTTATGAGTTTCCAGTCTGTAACACATCAAGGACTATTTATTGCATTATATTTATCTAATTAAACAGCAGTAAGGTGAAGAATTTCTTCATGCTACTTCACTTAAGAATATCTCATGTAGGATTTAAATTTCCTTCTCTTCCTCTCCCCAGCTGCCCTGCAAAGACCCGTGCCACAGCTGTCCTTGCCCCCATACAGCTCCAATGCATTCCCACCCAAATCTGTCAAGCCTCCACCTAAGCCAGGATCCAACACCATTCCTCCTGCAGAAAGGTTTGTTTCACCATTATGGGTCATTCCTTTTGAATCTCAGTCTCTTGGTAGTTCATTACTGAGCCTGTGCCCTTGCCTCACACAATGCTAATTAGTGCTGTTCCTACTATCAGGAGAATCCTTTATAGAATTGAAGATCTGTATCAGTGGAACAGAGAGTGTACATCAGGCAACCAAGAAAAAGCCATGAGTCTCTCTGTTTTATGGCAAGGAATTTTTTTAAACTGATGCATTGGAGTGGCCTCCTAGAAGAGAGGCTAGACAAACTTAAGAGAGTAAAAGCAGGTATTTATGGAAGGCCTTCAATAGGTACACCTTGGGCAGTCAAAAGCCCCCAAGGGGCTACACCCAGGATGGACAATGGTCATGAGTTTTTCAGACAATTTGAAGTTTGGTTCATTTACATCTCAGGGGTTAATCCTCCAAATTACAACTCCAGGTAATGGAGTAATTTACTTCAAATTATCCCCCCAGCTCACTCTTGTTTACACCTCTGGGTCCTGAGACAATCAGGTGTCCTTGAGTTCCAGGCCTAGAGAAGAATTGTTTTATCTCAATGAATGTCAGCAGCTGACAGGCCATGGAGTTTTAGAGCTATACACTAAAGCAGTGCAGGATCTGAAAAATAGAAAAGCTAAATCCTAAGGCATCAAGACCCTACAAAGTACAAAGCTTCCATTCTTAAGACACCCATTGCTTGGAGGGTTCATAGGAATGACCAGTTCTTTTGGAAAGGGATCATCTCCTACAAAACTAGGTAGGATTCAGGACAAAGGGGTCCTGCACACTCCAGGACCCCTTAAGTGTTAGAGCTACAACTCCTCACACTTCGAAACTAAAAATCTCCACAACCCTGGTTGTCTGGAGTTGAATCTGAAAGAATTTCACCTCCCTTTCACTAAATGTTACTCTAATGGTTGATAATTCCTATTTAAAATTGTGAACCTTGCTGCAATTTTTTCCCAGCTTCAACTTACAAATATTTGTTATGCCTTCACTTGCTAGACAGAAGAGCCCCTAATTAAATTTGATTTCTGATTTACCATACAACAGACTTAGACTTTGATGACTTAGAGTGGGCTCCTTGAGTCCATATCTGATGCACATTTTCTAATCTCTGTATTTTTTAATGGCTCTTTGATGAATTCCTCATATTTACCATCATTCTCTGGAACTGCTGACACCAAAACAAATACTGCAGTAGCAATAGCAAGGTCATATGCAAATTGAACTATTCCTATGATGAACATTTCTGCTTATATTCAAAAAGCATTGCCAAATTTTGCTGTAGCAGAGGCCCCTGGGTTGACTGATTCTCTCCCATAAATCAAGTAATGATAGGGTGTTTTTGTTGTGCAAACAAAATTAGCATATTTATCTCAGAGACTTTTTAACAGCTCATTTAAGCAGAAGAGAAATATGAACAGTAAAGGAAAGGAGTGCAGGCAATTTGTTCTCAATTAGGTGAAGAAAGAAAAAAAAAAGCCCCAGAAATTGAAGAGTGGGACTCCAATTTGAGCAGTTTTGGATGTTGTTTGAGGTTAGCAGAGATCTCTGGACATCTTCTGGTCCAACCCCCTACCCAACAAGGTCACCTTGAACAGACTGCCTTTGAATGTCTCCAAGGAAAGAGAGATTCCACAACATTCTTGGCAACCTGCTCCAGTTCTTGCTTGCCCTCACATTAAAAAATATTTCCTGATGTTCAGAGGGAACCTCTGGTCTTGTCACTGGGAGCAGTGAAAAGAGCCTGGCTCTCCCTTCAGGTATTTATATGCTTTAAAAGATCTCTCCTGAGCCTTCTCAGCTTCCAGCTCCTCAGCCTTTCCTCTTGTGGAAGATACCCAGTCCCTGATGTTGCTGGCCCTTCCCAGCTTGCAACATAAATGTGAAGCTGCATTTTTATCAACAATGTTACAGAAGCAGTAGAAAAATAACTCTGTGAGTGGAACCCCCGCAGCGAGAAAGGTCTGGTGAGCCCCTGTGCGTGCTGCTCTGGGGAAGGACAGAAACATTCCCTGGGAAAACTCCACAAGCTGAATGCTCTCCTGCATTGATCCTGCTGCAGAAATCTCTGTGGCCTTTACTGATTACCTTATTGGCAGATACTGAGCTCCAGGTAAACTTAAAGGTGGATCCGCTTACACAAAAAGAAGGAAAGAAAAAACAAAAAGAAGAAAACAGAAGGCTCTCCTCACTCTGCACAGGTCTCAAGGGGCTCTCACATTCTGTAAAACTGGCACAAAGTCCAGGTGATCAGAGCACAGAAATGTTATAGAGAAATGTTGTAGTTATACTGACTACTCTTTTGTTTTATTATTATTTTTTTAAACAGTGCTAGAAACCTGTCTTCAACTGGCTCTCTACCACCACGCTTCCATCCAGGTTTGCATCCTACATCCTTACATTGTCTTTCTTTTTTAGGTGAATGAAAGTTGAAAGGCAGTTTCAGCGCAGTCAATATAATAGCTTTTTTTTTTCTATGTATGTTTCTGCTTGGACTGTGAACAGAAAACTATCAAATTCCTGAAAGGAATCACTTAGTCTGAATTAAAGATTTTGGGCTTTTTCTTCCCCATGAAGTTTGGGCTTCCTGCCTCGTTCACCTAGTGTCAAAACTTCATAAAACCATCCTTTTCTGTACAGTACTGAGAGCTGAGCTATGCAAATCACTGTGGTATGCTAATACTCCCTAAAAAGATTAGCAAATGCTTTTCATGTGAAATATGCTCCATATTTATCTTGTAAGAAAAAAAATAGAGAAAACTTAGACATCAATTGCTTTACAAGTAATTTTTTTTGCACAAGGTAACAGCTGTGTCCTACAGTGACATTTTTTACTTTCTAATTGCTGAGAAGGTAAGGATTGCAAAGAGACAATGTTACTTCTGTCTCTAAAGAAACCAAGATGCTCTCAAGTGAGTAACTGTGGTACAGAAACTGATAAAATGTCACCCCTATTTCCAGTTCATCTGTTCTTATGGAGATCTGAACCACAAGAGCTCAGTTAAATTCCCTGTGCACCAAAGATGGATTGTAACAAACCTGGCTCTCATAGAGAAGCCTAAAGCTGATTTCAAATAATTTCTAGGTGTCTCAGTAGCAGGGTGATAAAAATACTTTATGCTTCATAAAATCAAGATCCTACACCCTGGGTGCACAGATGAAGTTATTTTTCTGGTTTTAACATTGTTTTTCTACTTTTGTACCTCTGAAGGCAGCAACAGCAGATCTCCTTCCAGAGGCCCAGCTGACATGAGACCTCCACTGCCAATTCCTAGCAGACAGACTGTTCACCAGGCAAACACAGAGCAAGATGAGGTACAAAACATGAACCACACCTGTAAAGACTGCAAGTTTTCTAGTTTTGAGAGACAACACCTTTCAAAGTTGTTTTTCTAGTCAGTAGTCACTGTCAGGACACTACTGAGTGCTTTCAGTTTCCTTTTCTATGTCAAACTGTAGTGCCTTATTTTGTCCTCACCGAGAAAAACAACAATAGTTGAACCCCAAAAGAGCAAAATAAGAAAAAGGCTTGTTTTCTGGATTACTTGTTTTGCACAACTGCCTTCAAGCAGTATCGAACTTTCAGTTCTCTTTCCACAAAACTTTGATATGTAAAGGACTCATTGAGTGCATTTTTGCTTCACATTTCCTTAAATAAAACAAGTTTAGAGCAAACCATTCATGGTGATAACACTGCTGGGCAATCATAAATAGTGCATTTACAGGAAGTCTGCACAGTTGTCTCAGATGATAGCTAAAAACAGACAGACAAAGGCAAAGGATGCCTTTGTGCCTAGTGTCCAGGTAGACAAAAGAGAATATGCCATTTAAAATCTTTCACTGAAAGTATTTGGAAATATCTGTTTTCTTAGCTTACCTGCAGGGCCGTAATATCTAGATCTGTAATATTTTCAAATTTATCAAAGCGAGCAGGTAATTTAAAACAATTTAGCAGCACTTTCCATGCCACAATAAATGTGTGATCCGTGACACACAGAGATTCTGCACACAGACTCACATATCCTCACACTGCAGTTTCTCTCTACTTATTTGCATGTTGCCATTCCCTGGCAGCTGACCTTGTCCTTGTCCTTGTCCTGTCCCCAGCTCCAGGGCTCTCTGAAGGATGAGTGGTACGTGGCCTTTGTCAGCCGGCCCGAGGCAGAGGCAGCGCTCCGCAGGATCAACAAGGTACTGCAAATCCCACCCTTGTCTGGGCATACAGCACAGCAGAATGAACTGCAGGTTCAAACAAGGTTTATGGAAAAAAAAAAGTGGAAATAAATGAAATATAGAATATTTAATATTAAATACAAAAATAGACATAAATACATTTAAAATGTCATAAATATTTATAATAGTTTAAATAAATACATTTAATTTAGAAATAAATAATTTAAAAATAAATGTATTATATATTTATAATAATAATATATTATTAAAACAATAGACTAAATATATGTTAAATAATAATATGGCCTATAAAATATATAATAGTTAATATATAATCTTTAATACCATAAAGATAAATAGATTTATTGCTGTGGGAGTTGTGGTTACCCTGTGCTGCATCACGCATTTGCCATGAGCTGAAGATGGCATGTGCACCATTCCAGTGACTTGTACTGAAGTCCAGTTCATGAGGTCCTTTAAGTGCCTTTAAGAAAGGGATTTCAATAGAAGATTTGTCAAAATAGATCTGAGACTAAGAAAAGTAGAGATAGTGATACAGCATCACTGCCTTTATCTAAATTACACAATGTCATTATTTTAAGCTGTCTATAAATCCATCACGTAGGAAACGTGATTGGCACTTAGTGGAAATGAACTTCTCTTCTGGTTAAAGTGATGTAAGGTTGGTCTTTTCACTTCCTCCTTCAATGGAATCTCTCCCTCATACAACACCATTCCTACCTTCCTTTAGAATCTGCTTTTGTAACAGAGAGGAAAGTTTGAAGTGGCAAACTGAAAGACAACACATTTGTCAAAAGACCTAAATGCTTTAATGGTGCAGTTTCTCTTATCAGAAAGGAAAAAGATTTCAGAAAGAAGAAAAGCTTAGAAGCACAAGTGCTCTAGTGAAAGTTGTTACACTGAGCAAACCCAAATGTCTGCTATTTGTCATCTTTCATTTCTTACCGTTTCAGGATGGAACATTCCTGGTGAGAGACAGCTCAAGGAAAACAGTGACTCACCCCTATGTCCTGATGGTGCTGTACAGAGACAAAGTGTACAACATCCAGATCCGCTACCAGGAGCAGGAGCACTTGTACTTGTTAGGAACCAGCTTGAAAGGAAAAGAGGTACCACGCGTTTTTCACTCCAAGGCATCTCCTGCCTTGTTCCTCAGTGTCAGATGACTGTTCTCCTGGGCTGGAATTCTGCTTCTTGTCTCAGTTATTCATGGGAGAATATTGTTACTGCTGGAAGCAGAGTCAGGTTATGCTGTTTGCTCTCAGGGAGTGAAGGGGTGGCCTTAGAACACAGCCATTAGAAATCCACGTGCCTGCCTAGGGAATGTTTGTTTCCCACTGAGATACCAGATAAGGGAAATGCAGAGCTGAGAGCTAATCCATACCTGCCAAGTTCCAGCTTTGCTCCCAGGCTGGTGGCTCAGCCCCAGCCTGCAGGACTGTGTGGGTTTGCTGGCACCAGACAGACTGCTCTGCACATTCCTGGCAGGTCTGATCCAGACAGAACCCCTGAGCTGATCAGCCACCTCTGAACTCTCAAGTGCAGCCATCACATCAAGCACAGTGGCAACAGCATGTGTTAAGCAGACCAAGACTGTATAAATTAATTATACAACATTGCAGCAGCTTGTACAGAGTTACTGAACAACACATCATGGCAGGAATGAGAACACTTGATCTGAACCTTATATATATTTTTATAATATTGATAAATATTTAGAATTTTAAAATACCCTTTTGTTTCTACTGGTTACTAATAATTCTGACATTTTGTCCTTAGTCTTCTCATTTTTTCCATCCCACAGGAATTTTCTTCTGTAGCAGATATCATTGACCACTTCCAAAGGACCCCCCTTCTTCTGATTGATGGAAAAGACAGAGGGTCAAGAAACCAGTGCATGTTAAAATATGCTGCAGGACATATTTAAATGAAACTTTAGAGAAGATCACATATAGTACTGAAGCCTTCTGAAGTTTATAAACTTGAAGATATTTCCCTTTTCAGCAAACTAAAATCATGAAGTCATTAAAATTCACAGTTTCAAAGAAAAAGGACTATGTTATTTTAAAATTATGCCTTAAATACAGTACTCTATAAATATAATTTTCCTACAAAGTGTCCATTAATCATAAAGCACATGAGATTTTTTTTTTCTTCCAAGATATGTATATCTTCTTGAAATTATTTCCACACCAAATTTGATGAACCATAAATAAATATCCATACAAGCCTCTGCTTTCATAGGAGCTCTTTTCTTGGATCAGAATTGCAGCAACAATTTTGTTATTTGGAGTGATACAGAGTAGACCCAAACATTGTCAAAGCTGTGGAGTAGACAGAATAAAAGCCAATTTTTTCCTCAATAAATCTAACTCTGCTCACTTCTATGAAAAGATCAACTCAGATCTGAAGAACACCCAGGTTTCAGTGGCACCAAAACCCCTCCAACCCTGGAGATGCAGGTGCCTGCCAGGATCTGTGTCTGGGTTATCCAGCTGTGAAAGTGCTTGTTCCCACTTTTCCAGAACACCACACCCACAGAGCACATCCTCCCTGCACAGCACTGGGGATCCCATGCCTCAGCCCACAGCTGGAAGTTTGTATTTCCTACAATTCTCTAACCTCACTCAGAAAGAAGGTTTTCTCCACACACATCTCTCTTCAGCTGTGTCTTTCTGACTGAATCAAGCAACTGCATTTTTACAGGGAGCACATTGACAAAATCATCATCATGTGACCCTTACGTGGCAGAACCCCCCAGATCTCTTAGAAAGCACAGTCAGGCCAAACTTAGTTCCTCTTGCACAACTGCTTTCTGTTTTACTGTATTTTTTAAAGAAAAAAAGGGACACACACAGTTCAAAAATTCAAGTTGTGGCTGAAGAACACTGCAGCCCCTTTGTTAAGTGCGATTTATCCCAGCATTTGACTTGGGTTTCAATTTCCCTTGTGGTCTGACAAGACCTTGGTTTGATAATTATGACTTTTATCACACTTTTTCTCCTTTAAAGCCATGGTGTCTATATCAGTTAAAACACTGGAACCAAAATTCAAGGTAGAAAATACCTTCCATAGAATCTGTAATGCTTCCCAGATAACATAATCTGACTTCATAAACAGTTTTCCTTATAAAGATATGTTTTGTAAGTGTTCCTTTCTAAGATGTTTAGGTAAGAGCTGGAATTCAAAGTTAGCAAAGTTCATTTCCATGCAACTAAGTCAAAAAATAAAAGTGAAAAATAAAATTTAAAAAATCCTTCAGCTGACAAAAGCTGTTTCTAGCCCAATAGTTTAAAAATTGACTACTAATCTGAAAGTGAAAGAAAAGTCAGTTCTAATCTGTCTTTTCAAAAACTGTTAAAATGAAGAACAACATCCCCCATATCACCACTGACTCTTGTGAACTGTAATTCTATTCCATTGCCCTGCCTTAAAAAATCTGACAACCCAGAAACACCTCCTTTGGAATTGTGTTTTATTAATTTTAAATCATCTCACCAGCAAAAGAGACATAAAACATAAACCAGCATAACAAATTCTAACACTGCATATTTTTGAAAAAGTAGAATAAATCTCTATTTGATTATTCAGAGAAATATATTTGGTGTAAGAATAAAGCTACATCTCAACATTCAAACATGTCCACAAGTGAAGTATGATTGAATATTTATTGTAGTGAACTACGTGAAAATTGTGGCTGTGCAAATGTTGGGCCAAGAAGATTTCAGGATAGAGCACTGAAACCACAAACTCCTCCCTATTCTTGTAGCTATTTGCACTAGAGAGTCATTACAGAAACTAGAATGGAAAGCATTTTTTGTTTTCCAGAAGCAATCTGCTCCTTGACCCCTTCCTCAGCAACATTTTTAAGAAGAGGAAGGCAGCTCAAAACACAAATTGCAGTTCCTCCTTCACTGGCAGTTTCTTATCCTGTTTCCACAGGCACAACTAAGACACGAGACAGTGACTTGAAGTAAATTTCAAATCTTTTGTTACTGCTCTAACACGTTTTTGTTTAAAAGGAGAAAACCGTGTGAGAAACTTCATGCCCAGTTTCCTGACCTTTTTAATTAATTACATCAGTCTTTCCCACCCTAGTGGGCTTAATTTGGGAAATGTGGGTTGAAAAAACCACTGTCAGAACGAATAACCTATTTTTTTTTTCCATTCCACATGTTTAGCTTAAAATAAAAATAGTCTATCTGCAGGAAACCATGCTATCATTGTACAGTTCAAACTTAATTAAAAGAAAGAAGATAAGAAAGAAGAAAGAAGAAAGAAGAAAGAAGAAAGAAGAAAGAAGAAAGAAGAAAGAAGAAAGAAGAAAGAAGAAAGAAGAAAGAAGAAGCAGCTTCACCAGTATTAATAGAAGACAATACAAGAAAATGGATGTTACTTAATCAGTCAAACTCCAAGTTTTTTCTTCAGCTTCTCTTAAATCTTGGGCCTTCATAGGACGGTTGAAATTCAGAATCAGGTCACAAAGCAGTAGCTGGCTTTCCACTGGAAGGCAAAGGGCAGTGTATCAGCATGGTATTTATTGAATGGCAGTGAATGGTAATCTACAGAGAGCATTGTTTCAGTGTTCATCTATCACCTCACTCAGGGTTGCCTGTTTCGCTTGCCTCAAGATGGTTAAATTCAGTTGGTGTCAGCATGTCAGCAATATTTGCATTAGAAGACTCTCAGTGTTCCTAGAAAGGAATGACTGATCACCTAGCAGGTGTTTGCCATGGTTAACTAACACGATTTCATTGCTCTCTAACTACTGTTTCATTAATTTTTTAGAACACAAGAGCAAAGCTATTGCTTCATTATGTTAAAACCCAGTTGTCTGACACAGAAAACCAGGCCATTCTCAACTGTACACTCCTAGAACAATGTCCTACACAGCCTTGTGTTTAACTGGATGGCGAAGTCAGAATTACCATTTATTTTCTTCAACTCATTGGACATTGAGTCAACATTTTTAATTGCAGCCTCAAGATTAAACTGTCCATCAGGATTTTTGATCACCTGTATGAAACAGGAACAAAACATGACTGGCAGGGTATATATGATTCATAAACTCATTGATATAGATAATCATAATACTCATGACATTTTTTCTTTCATTTTCTTAAATAATATTCTACTAAAACATCCCTCCGTTTAAAATTATCCACTTAGACTTGACAAATTACAGCTATGGAAGGCAAGCACTAAACACTCAAGGCTGGGGTTTTTTCCTGTCACATTTTTTTATAGAAACAACAGCAGTGAAATTAATAATGTTTATGAATTCTTCTCCTCATCATTTTTCATGTTTGTTTTTGACCAAGATTTTCCTACAGAATCGAAAATTAATCGAAAATGATCATTCAGCCACAAGATGGAGCTGCAGTGACATTAACGTGGCCAACAAACCTGGTCACTATTAACGCTGAGTGTTAATGAGCCTGCCAAAACACGCCCAGAAACATTGGTAATTAGTTTACAATCAATATCTTCTTGTCTTCTTTAGAAATCATATTCCCTGCATGTAACATTTAATTAAAAACCAATCACAATCTAGACAAAATTAAGACTAATAACCATTTGAAATGAAGTATAATTTGAAATCTCAAATGCCTACTAAACTCCTCTTAAGGAACTTTTCCTTATGAAAAAATTCAAAGAGAAGGGCACATAGCACAATTTCTGGCCTTGTTATAAGCTCTCAACATATCATTCAGAAATTCTAAAATGTGGAAAAACTCTGGGTGATTCATAAATAATGTTACTTATGTAGAAAATCTCAGCACATTAAGGAGCATGACCAAGAATATTAACATACATTTACCATAGATTCTTTGTCTGAGTCTCTTTTCCCTTCAGTCAGTGGCTTTATGTTGAGTTCATCAGTCATGGCTGAGGCTTCTAAAAAGACAACTCCAAATTATTAAGGATTAGTAAGTATAAAATATATAAATGTAAATATCTCACATAAAATATATAATTAAATTTTAAAAATATAACAACTGGACATTCATTTCATTAGTGTTATTTGAAAGTAGAGTCTAAGACCTCAAACAGTTTTAGTTCTGAGGAGGAATTAAAAGCCTTGATTTTATTTCTTTTACTTTCTTTTAGGGACAGCGCTCCAGAATTTTTTCAGGAGTTCAAGTGGAATTGAAAACAGTGAATAAGTGTATGAGTAATGGTGATGAAGAATTCCTCTAACATATTCCTGTACTTTTTTAACTGAAAACTTTCTGAGTGATCTAAAAAGGTATTGCAATTGGTTTCTAACATCAATTTATGGAAGCAAAATCTAAAGCACACAGGAAAAAACCTGTTCATGGTGGTGCATCTTCCCCTGGCCACATTATGATCTGAGGTTTTTTTAGAGACTCTAAAACACTCTTCTGGCACTGTCTGCTGGTCAGGAACAGAGCTGAGATTGAATACCAGATCCCCGGGCTGGCTCTTCCCCCATTCCTGCTGCTCCTCTCTCCTTACACGTCAGGACACCTTTGGGCAAGCTCAAGAGTGTGACAGTCACTGGAGAGCTGTTTCAACCCTAAAAAAGGGAGAGAAAAGGGGAGGAGGGTTATTTCACCCTCAGAGGGGTGTGTTTTCAGCTGGGGTGCGTTGACACCATGCAGAGGGTGCTCAGCTCTGGGGCAGTAAGGGTGTCCCCCTTTGGGTGCCTCCCAAAAAGGCCTCATGGAGGGCACAGCTCCTTTGGGCTCCTGTGGGTCACTGCCCTGCACAGGGTGAAGCCCCTGCACAGGAGTCAGTCCCCCAAAACTTCTCCAAAAGGAGCTGAAGTATGTTTTATGTTGGAAGGCACCATAGAGATAACCTGGTTCTGTCCCCCATGCCATGGACAGGGACACCTTCACTAGCCCAGGTTGCTCCAAGCCCTGTCCAAGCTGGCCTGGAGCCCTCACAGGGAGAAGGAGCACAGCCCTAGGAACACTTGCAGGGAGAAGGAGCACAGCCCTTTCCCAATGAGGACGTGCTGCCAGCACAGCCAGGCTGGGCTGGTCCCTCCCTGCAGCAGCCCCAGGGCCAGCAGGAGGATGTGCAGCCCCCCAGGGGCAGCCCCAGGGCTTCTCCCAGCAAGGAAAGCCCTGGTGTCCCTCACCCAGCACATGGGAGGTCAGTGGGTTGCAAGAGTCCTGGGGGAGTCGCACATTTTAGGAGTGGGTGGCAAAAAGTAATTGCAAATGCTGCAAGAGCTGAAGAAGAAATGGAGAAGAGAGGACTGAGGTGTCAGCAGGGTGGTGGATGGGGAATGAATCCTGGTGGCCTTTGAGGGCCTGCTTGTGGAGAGCTTATTGCATGCGCTGCATTTACAAACATTTATAAACATTTATAAACAGTCAGTTCCTTTTGGTCATCAATTCAAGTTCACATGGAGTAAAGTAAGTTACACTATTTGATCAAAGCTTAATCGTGAACCTGAATTTAAAGAAGCCAAGAGAGGCACTTTGCTAGACAGATTATCCATTTAGACCATGCTCAGTGTTAATTTAGCAATGACCACTGCCCTCAGAAGCACATACCTGACTTGAGTTGGAATCAACAAAACCTGCTAACTAATGACCTGGGCTTGGGAACTGCTCATTCCTTCCCCAGTCCGTGCTGTGGTACTTAAAGCCAGGGACCAAGCAGGGGAATGGCTGTCAGCACTTTTCTTTAATTTACTGGAACCACTTTTCCTGCTGCTCAGCATTCATCTGTATTTTGAACTCACTGCTTGGCACCAGTGGAGAAGGAATCACCAGCACCTCAGAGCAGAGTGGAATTACTTGGATGTGCAGTAGAGAACAGATGGACAGGGTGTGCTTGGGATGTGCTTTCATTCTATTTCTTCTTTAAAATAAAGCATTCTAAATGTATTGGTTTATGACTGAATTGGAACTCAGAACAGCATTTTCTGGTATGGCACAATTAAACTGTGATTCAAAGAGAAAACATGATATGCTGCACACATTGCGGGGCTTTCTGGAGATGAGAAATGCAGAGCAGGAAACCCTTCACACATGCACTAATTCCTGTACTACAGCCTTTCAGTTTACAACCTCCTGTCAGCACCCAGTGCAAACAAGGTAACTGTGCCCTTTCTGTGGCCTCTAAGGAAAAAGTCCAGCTGAAGGTGCTGATTTTGCTGGTAGAATATAAAATAGAGCTGTCATACAAGGTGGCTTTATATATCTTCTACATACAAAAGAACCTACTAAAGTTGATATAAATATAAATTAAAAAAAAGCAAAACAGTATCCTAGCAAGGTTGTGAAAATATTTGTGCCAGTAGAAGGAGCAGTTATTTCCTTCACTAATCTGTAAAGCAGAATGCTTCAACTAATAAACCCTGTTTCTGTCAGTTTACTTTCTACGTTTGGATGTTTTTTCAACATCATATAAATAATCATTCCTATTGCACTTAAATTTTTCTATATTGTAAACTAACAATATAAGGAAAAATATGTTATTGTAATGATGAGAATTTGAATGTTTTTTCAACATCATATAATCATTCCTATTGTACTTAAATTTTTCTATATTGTAAACTAACAATATAAGGAAAAATATGTTATTGTAATGATGAGAAAAATTAGATTCAAAATATGTACAATAAACTGAGTTGCCAGAACTAATTGGACAAACCAAATAGAGTGGTTCTTAAAACCACTTTCAAAAAATAATCTTCAACAATGTGAGATACTAACCAGCAAACTGACCAACAGTGCAAGAGATTGACTGTATGCAGCATTTTTTTAAAAAAAAGATAGTAAGAGATATTTAATTTCTACACCTGAATTTACTTGGAACAGAAACACTGGATTTTCTTTATAAGGCAATATTTCAAACTGAAACACTGAAATCACAGGTTTAAATTATTAAGTTATACCTCTGTGAGGAGCATTCTTGTAGGTGCTGCTGGCAATTTCACATCAGCATTTCAGTTTATGAGTTGCAGTTTGCTCTTTGCCTGAAGTAAACCCACAGGTTTATGTGCAAAGATACCCAGAGCTGAAGCTCTTCAATCACGGGCTGGTCTGGCCATGGGTGGTACTTTACACAAAACCCCTCTGGACCCAGGGGTTTTCAGAGAACACCTTCACTTGTGGCAGTTCAGACAGTTTTATGAATCCCTGATAAAGACAGAATTACTACCAAACCAGTTCTCTAAGGAGGGGAAAAGATCAGGAAGACTAGAAATAGATTTGAGGGTGCAGAATTAGGGTTATGATGAGAATGAGCAAGCTCTGCAGGCAGCTAAAACAGGCAGATCACTCTACAGCACTGCCTTCCTCACCTCTGCAATTACCCTGTGCAGTAAAATTACCCTAATTATAACTTCAGACAAAATGAAGCAGTTCAATACACAACCACTGGACAGGACAGTTTGAAAACAAAGGATATACAAAATTATTTTTTTGTGTCGTAAGAGATGAAGTAGAAAGAGGAAAACCACGATCTTGTATTGTATCTTATGGTTACAAAGATGTTTTAAAGAAATTGTTGTAGTGGGAAGTAAAATGTATTGACTTCAAAATAATATTTTATTATTATAAATAATAATAAAAGTGAGTAGCTTAATAAACATTTAGAGTCTGTCTTTCAAGGAAGTCATACTTATGGCACTGCAGTAACAGATGAGACATAAGGAAATCACAGAATCACCAAGGCTGAAAGAGACCTTCAGGTTCATCTAATCCTGCCATCTCTCACCATAATCACCCTTAAACCATATCCTCAAGAGCCTTATAAAGTTTTACTGAAAGTATTACCATTTGCTGTTACTGTGAAGGCTTTAGCTTTCATAAAAAAACTCCCTAGTGGGTCTAAGAAGAGTGTTTAAAGTTTCAATGCACGTTATTAAACTTTCACTTGAAAAGCTTTGACAAAAGAGAAACTGATTTTTTACCGTCGCTTAGGTATAAAAATTTTAAATCCAGATTGCAAGGAAAGTCAAATAGAAACCAAACCAACACACACAAAATACAATGCCACCTTGACAAATGGCAGTAATTTCTGATAAAAAAAATGTATTTCATAAGCTCTGGAGCACATGTCAAATTTGAAGTGATGAAAACTTGCTGAAGGCCAAGAAAAGCCTGACCAGACCATGGTACAAAGACAGTAAAGCAAAAGCCAGACTTTGTCTTTAAAAGTTACAGACCCAGTATTTCAGGTAAAGAGTGGTAGGTGGAAAAGAGTGCTAAGCAAATGGCCTTGCCTTAAAACATACTCATGAAATAGGAAGTGTAAACCCTGAGTTAAAATATATATTTGTGGCATATATTGTATGCCACAAATATAGTGGCATAGTATATTTATGCCATAGTATAATAGGTGAAACCTGTTATAGTTAATAGGTGAAGTATAATGTTATAGTATATATGAAGTATAATGTTATACTATAATAGGTGAAACCTGTTTGCTTGAGTTTTCAGTCAGAAAAATGCAAGAAATTATGTAGCACACAATGCTATATAACACATAATACAATGTTCTGAAACTGTTTTCATAGTACCTGCATAAGAAAATATTAAAACCAAAAAGTTGCACCTACAGAATTAAAATCACTGCAGCCTTTCAGAGAAGAAATGTAATTATTTTAAAATAATAAATAGCATAAGCTTATGCTTTGTAGATAGTCTGGAAGGTGTTCACTTGGTGATCTGAAAAGTTTTTTAATGTGTACTAGTATGTACATAAAATATGTGTAATAGCTTCTGAACTATAGCTTTAAAGTGGTTCTGTAATGTAATATTCAAGGTAATTATATGGCCTGTTAAAGATTGGAATATTCATTAACTGAAGACAAGTGCACATCTAATGCTAATACAAATGGAATTGAGTGCTGAAGCTGCTTAGTTGGTATAAATATCTTTTATACAAAAATAAAGGTATATTTTCTGCAGCTTATTCATACATAACACTTGTGCTGCTTAATTTTTTAGTAAACTCAGGTAAAGAAGTGTGGAGTTGCTTAAAAGAGGAACAGTAAATATCAATTAGGTTCTGGTGGGATAATTTGAACAATTAATCATGAATGCTATTTTCAGTGGAACTTGGGGAGATTCACAAATATTTTTGCTTTCTTCATAGTCCAGATATCATGGAAAGGGAGAGCTACTGGTGAAAGCTTGGCATGCAAGCTCTGAGCCACCGGAATTGGGAGGCACGACTGATCTTGCAGTGTTTTTTAAAGTGAAATTTGGATACATTCATGAGTTGAGTGGAGGAATTTCAAGAAGCATCTAGAAATTCCTTGTGATTCTGGATTTCCCAAGAGAAGTGATTTCTGATGCTATCAAATATTTTCCCAGCTCATCATAACAGCACTGAAATGACACAGACTTGACAGCAATAGTGAACCTTTACTTGTTCACAAGCAGCTGTCTAGAGCCAAAGAACTGTGTCTGCTCCTAGCTCTCAGGGACACTCACATCTGCTTCTCTACAACCTTTCTCACCAGATGTCATTTAAAAAGATTTTGTTCATCCACCCAGGAAAAGTAAGTTTATAAAGCAAGGAATTGTGAAATTGGCTCCAGATCCTAAGAAAGCAGTGAATCAGGTTTGTCTTTTGGAAAGCACTGAGCCGTTTTGACTGAGATGTCATTGCTTAAAAACTCTGTTTTTACAGATACTTCACCACTGCTCTTTTATCTTCATAGATTTTTATTGCAGTAACATAGTGCCTGAAACACTGCAGAGAGAAATAAGGGAGTGTGCTAATGCCAGTAAGTCAAGTTTCTAATTTGCTGCAGTGTAAGTTAGCCCTTCTTAATTTAAATGAATTTAATACCATCATCTGTAATGGTCAGAGACACAATGTAGATATTACAGCTTCTATTAGCTGCTTCTATTGTAATTATCCACACTATTTTTCATTTGCCAGCTTGCATACATTATTATGTGAAATGCCCTATAAACATTAGAGGTAGAGAAATGAGAACTGAACAAAAGAATTTAATTCTGCTCAGGGAAATGGTATTATCGTTTTGAAATCACAGGTTTGATTATTTTTGTTGTTTTATCAGAAAATTTCTTTGTAATTAACTCGCAACCTGGCTAGGAGGAGGCACACCAAAACATCCTGAAGCAATTCCTGTCTCAGCTGTTTGAATGGGCATTTTTTTGTAACTGAGGACTTTTTTGCAAATTCTTTATTTCATAAATAAAGACGTCACTCTTGCAACACTGTTCATACTCCATAAATACAACTGTGTTACAAATTCCACCTAACAGACTCTCAGTTTTGCAGTCTCTGGAAGATGGAACTGGAGAGCAACAAGAGAGAAGCCACTAGATGCCCTCGTTCCCACAATCAAAGCAAAGGAAGAAGAAAATAGAACATGCTTGCCCTAAAAGGCTGGTGATTCAGCCCAAATGTGAGAATGACGAGTATCTAAGAGATGGCAGATAATTGATGCCACTGCCTTGAAAGCACATTGTGCCAGCTGCCCACTCAGGGATCCTATGGAAAACAGGGTGCCCCTGAAGAGAGGAATGATTGGCATCTGACTTGATGGAGAAGGCTGAACATTAATTCAGTAGGCTGAAAAATTGCTTTATTAAACTATTCTGTATTAAACTAATACTATATTAAATTACATACTAAAAGGATACTAAAAAGATACTATACTGTACAAAGATACATACTAAAGAAAAAGCCATGACTATCTCCAGAGAGGCAGGACACAGCTGTGACCCAATAGGCCAATTAATATAAACAATCATCACCAGAATCCAATTACCAAATCTCTTCAGGCAAACAATCTTCCTAACACATTCCACATGTGCAAAAACAACAGGCGCAGAGAATAGAGATAAGAATTGTTTTCTTTTTCTCTGAGGTTCCTCTCTGCGATTCCCAGGAAATATCCTTGGGAAGCTGTGCCTGCCTGCTCTCCAAGGAGAGAGCTGTGGCTACAGGATGCTGTGATCTGGGGGAAGCTGTAGCAGGGGGAGCACCCCCAGAGGCTGCTCCCATTCTGTACTGGCAGTGACTGTCCCTCCCAGTGCCACCCTCAGGAGGGGATTCAGGCATATCCAAACAACTCCAAAGGAAGCCTTTTCCCTTCTGCTGATGACAGTGACAGCTGAGAGGGCTGGGCCTCCTCTTCATGAAGTTCACCAGTCTTCAACTCCTGCCTGTGCATCTACCTTGTGGAAAACCTCATGTCTGCATGTCCTGGCTGTGCCTGCACAAAACCCACCAGGTGTGCACCAGCATGAGTTCCATGCTGCACCTGCAGACATGGAAAATTGCTTTATGTTCTAAATCAAATAAGCAAACTGAAATACTGGAGTATGCTCAGATTCTTTTAGCAGAAGGGAGAATGTGTGAAATCAGTTATTTCAACTGGAATTTAACAGTTTTCCATCTAGGAGTAAGACTGCTCTGAAATAGCTATGACAGAAGTTAATCAGTTACTAGCTGTGATCACTTTGTGGCAGCTACTTAGCCTCAAAAACTAAGACCTGTCACTGTCCCTGGAGGGATTTAACAGACATATAGATGTGGCACTTGGGGACACAGATTAGTGGTGGCCTTGGCAGTGCTGGGGGAATGGTTTGACTTGATGGTCATAGAAATTTTTCCTTTCTTAACAATTCTATGATTCTATGTTTTCAAAACTGGGAATCAGGCCCTTCTCCCTGTTGCTTCACCAAACTTGGTTAATAGCTAAGAAAGTCAATAAAAAATAATGCCAAAATTAGGCTTGTTTTCAGGGTCTGTCCTGTTCAGATAAATTTTACATATATATCATTGCTTTCATTTTTTATCTAATAAAGATAATTTCAAATGTGCAATGAAACTGTATGAGAAAAAGTAACCCAAAACTCCTCAAAAAAGACAAAAATGAGAATTTGGAAGACAGTTCCAGGAACAGGTCTGACAGTTGATAATTTCTCTTGTAAGCTCTAAATGGGTGAAACCTCTTATGACATTACTAGATCTCTTTGGAACCACAGAGGAATAATTTTATGACAAATTAGGCACATTTAAATGCAGCAAAATGTCTATAGTTATACACAATCCCCATTTCTGTGCATTCTGATATATTAACAGTGACATTTACCAGAGAAATATTTCACAACCCTTTTTTATTGTGCTCATTTTTCAACAAGTTTGGAAGCTGGATAAATCATGGAAAGGTTCTGTGTGATTTGATTATCAGACTGGTGCTGCAGACACACTGAACAGCACACAGCACAAAGAAATGGGAGGTGATTCCCCTTCCCACAAACAACACAGGAGCTGCATTTAGCAGTAAATGAAGGAAGTCAGTCTTAACATTTTCAAACTGCCTGGATAAGAAATAGCACCATGTGTGAATTTCATGAAGTGCAATGTGGCTGTCAAGAGTTAATAAGAGCTGACAGTGTATTTACCTTACCAATCCAGGCACCTTTTCAGTCCTCACCTCCCTGTTTTCCTGCACATGATGGACCTGTGATCCCTCCAGCAGGGTGAGAAACAGATTCCAGATATCACCAGGTACAAGGTAAGGCATCTTTGCCATGCCAGCTGCCTCTCTGCTTTTGGTGCTTATGACAGCTCTGTGCTGACACCACTAAACTCACACAGGTGTTTTCTGCTGGAGGCACTACACAGCTGACACCAATAAGATGTTAAATAAAAATTTTTCCTTCAGTTTCAAATCTATTAATATTTACACACTGTACCTTCTACCGTCATCACAGATAGCCTAAAATCCAGACTGTCTGGACCCTGTGCAGAATTGCATCTTATATAAGTGTTTGCAATCAAAATATCCTAGTCCAGGCCAGCAGATGCTTTAATTGCCCCTCAGCACCAGACGAGATAATTTCCTGGACTTTTATAAAGTTATATTTTGAGGCTTTCTCCCCTGACATCTCAGATGCACTTTCTGGAAGTGTGGCAAAATATTTAAATAAAAGGGTGCTCTGTTTGCTGTATTTTGCAGCCAGGCAAGACTTGCTTCCCAAAACTAGTGTACTCAGTTCCAACCCTGAGCAGCAGCAGCCATGAACTCCCTGACAGAGGCAGTCAGCTTTGCTGAGAGCACATTCCAAAGCAGTGGATGTGGAGCAGTGCACCCCAAACATTTGCAGATGCAGGCACTCTGATGTGGCTGCAAAGACTGAAATGACCTGGCCAAATGACCCCCTTTTCTGCTTGGCTCCCCCTGAAGGTGCAGAAATATCCCTGCAGCAACGAGCTGTGGGTTCAGCCAGAGACACATTTACAAAGCACCAGATTAGGCTCTGTACACACCAAGAGAATAAAAATGGCCCATTGAAAGTGGAGCTTTACAAGCTAATTTAATAGGTTATTTTTGTTCCTACCTTCCTCAGGAACCTGAGGAATTTGATGTAGAACAGTTAGTTTAACTTTGGAGAATTCACAGATAACATTACTTGACAGGTATTATACCAATTTCCTAATCCATTCCCACTATTCCTCTGCACAGTCCTCAGAAGGAATGAAATAAAGCAGGATTATTACTTAAGGCTTAATACTGCTTAATATATCTTTTGACATGCTTAATATATCTGGGACATGTAAATCACTATAAATTTCCTTCCAAAGTTAAATGAGATACACTGAAATGAAGAAAAATGGAAATAGTAAAAATGTTCTGATATCAATTGACAATTTATGCATAATAGTGCAGGATTTTGTTGTTGACCATTCTAAGAGATAGCTCTAAATAAGGAACCTATGAAATCGAAAACTTCTTTACCTGTGTAAATATTCACCTTTTCTGAGTGCACTTGTCTCAATATTTTATTCACAAAACTCCTCCTGTAATTTTCTTTTGAATTAACAGTCCTTGAAGATATTTACTTTGAATTTCCACTCTTGCAATGGAGATGATAAGAAAAATGAGCAGCTACAAAATAAACTGTTCACTGCTGGTCAGGCTCCTTGCTCATGGTTGTAATGAAACTGCAGTTTTTGCAACAGAACTGCAGAGGTTACTGTGTCTCAGAAAGAGACCTAGAGGGACCCTAAGGAGCTGTCTCTGAACTAAATCCACGAGAGCACAAAAATGTTATTCAATCAGAAGCACAACATTTTTCTTAGTGAAGATTTGAATGCAGCCAAAAGTTTGGCCTTGAAGGGTTAAAGCACAGTGTTATTTCAGCAACTGAACAGTAAAAATCTGTGTATGGCTCTAAAATCAAGGAAGGAAGAGAGAGAATAAGATCAAAGAATGAAATAGTGACTGCTTTAATAATAACTTTGGTCAGTAATTTACATAAGTGGCTTTTACACCTTATCATCTGACCATAACTTGGGGTCTTTGGTATCTTGGTTGATACCAACAACTGATCACTGAACTTTAGGATCATTTTGGTGTTGCTGCTCTCTTTTCATCCTGACCCCACCTTAGCATTTAAAGGAAGCAATGGGGCTCCACTGAAACTCATGATAGCATTTATTTTCTGGAGAATTGATGACATTTTACTGCCCAAGATTTTTATGACACCTAGGTTATATTGCTTCTGTGCCTGCTTTTTATAGCTTTCTCCTCTAGCAAGAACTTGCGGTGCAGATGTGTAAGAAATGTTTCCAAAGAATCACAAAGAGAGGAATGTGGAAGTGTAAAATCCTGACTCTGACTTACTTTAATCTCATATCTCATCAGGGGAATGTGTATTGTGTACAAGTAACAAATCCTCGCTCTCTTACAAATCAACATTTGGTGAAGCAAAAATTCATCAGTTCTCTCATATTTAGAGTTTTATAAGCTACTCATTGGGTCTACTCTCAGGAAGGCCATCTTTTAACTGTTGCAAGATTGGTTTTGATTACTGTACCACTGAAAAATATATGTATGAAGTCATTCCAAAATAAGAGGTCAAAATATTTGACCAAAACGATTCATGTAAAGTTGTTTTATTACCTCTTTCTTACCATTTTCTCTGACACAAAGGCTGTTGAACATTACTGGGCAGCCTGGCCTCGGTCACTTTTTGAAAAAGCTGCCAGAAGCAACTTTCATGTCATTGTTCATTAACACTGATCACATTAGCAAGGATTTATTGGCAACTGCTGGTAATAAAATACATTTTAAATGCTTTGGGTGTAGAGTCTGCTGTGCCTAACCATGCTGGCATTGCTCACTTTTCAAAAGTGTTGCATGATTTACCACTTAGCCCAGGCACTCTTGTTTGATTAAATCCCTCTTTCCTTGCTGCTGGGAAGCAGAATTGGCAGCAACAAAGCATCTTTAATATTCTGTGTAGCACACCTCTAGAGGTCTTTGAATACATAAGTTCAAATTTTGGTTTAAAAGCTCCCTAAATTTGATTTTACTTGGCTGCAAAGAGGTAACATGAAATGAGCAAGTAAAATATTACAGCTGATGCAGAAAAAAATTTAAATTTCCACCTACTAAAGCACTTCAGTCTAAGGTGAAGCTCACTTGTGAGTCACTGGAGCATTCCCACCTTGTTTCTGTAGAGCTGCCCGATTAATGAGTCTGTCACAGGTAACCCTGGGGCTATGGGACACAGCAGCTGGGAAGTGACATAAAGTCACTTTAAATAGAGCTCTGTACACCTGACACATAATTAACATTTTTGGACAGTGCAAACAGTTCATGATGTGAAGGACAACCTGGTTACAGGCCTAGGAAAAGCCATTCCATTTCTTTCAGAAGGAATCAAATCTGAGTAACATCTGCTTATTAACGATTAGCAGTTCCAGTGCTTCTATTGGTTTGTCTGAGCTTTGATGGTGTCTCCAGTAAATGGAAGCACTTTGGACCAGATTGTTTAAGTGTTCACTGGACTGCATGCACTCCAACACCTTCCTGAGGATAGCTGTGCAAGCAGTGAGATTTTGGTATTTTCCAAGACTAGGAAGGGAAAAAGAAAAGCTTTGGTCATTAAAATGACAGATTTCCCAAGCAGGCAGTTAGAACAATGAAAAGCAAGGCACATTTCATAACAACCCATATGCAAACAAAACACTTTGTCTCAAAAATTGGTGACTACTGAAACCAATGTGTGGACATTTTTTCCCAACTGGAGTGCAAGGAGAGCAACACCACTGACCTTAAGAAACTTGGAGGTGGAGCAGGGTTGTTAGCAGGAACATACCAGTAAAATGCTGCTGAGGAGCTGAAGTCTTATCTCACATTTCCCCCACCTTATATTATCTCCAGGATTGTGGTTATACAATAGTCAGACCTAGGCTACTGATTGCATTTTTTCCAGATTAACACTCTCTTGAGAACTTAGAATGAATCACAGAATGGTTTGGGTTGGAAGGGACCTTAAAGATCATCTTGTTCCACACCCCTGCCATGGGCAGGGACACCTTCCACTGTCCCAGGGTGCTCTAAGTCCTGTCCAACCTGGCCTTGGGCAGTTCTAGGGATCCAGGGACAGCCACAGCTTCTCTGGGCACCCTGTGCCAGGGCCTCACCACTCTCACAGGGAAAAAAATTATTCCTGAAACTTCACAAGTTTCTGGAAAATATGGTTATTTTATTTTTCTGCTACAATTTCTTCCTTTCCTTATGACGTTTCCCGATTAGTTTTCCTATGGTTTTTGTAATAATATTCGTAAGGAAGCACTTGATAAGGACTTCTCTGTTTGTCTTATTTAATTAATTTGAGAATTTGGGATTTGCTCTGAAGAATAAATGAGTATTTTAAACTAACCAGAGTGGAACTTCAGTAGTTACACACAGTAGAATTCAGAGATACTTGCCCAGACATTGGCTGGAAAACAAATCATGACCTTACTTCTTCAAGCACTTAAAATATTGGAATTTTTCTAACTGGTTTGCTTTTGAAACGAGGAAGAAGCAATAATTCAACAACTGTCCTCTTGCCTCTGTCAGTCTGAGCAGATTGTTTAGGACCAGGCAGTTGTGTGACCCTTTGCAATGACAATGCAGAAGCAGTGTCAGACAGTTTCTTTGCCACAGCTTCTAACACAGCTCTAACACACCTGGCTGCAGAGCTCTCCCTTCCCCACTGTGACTTTGCTGTGGTGACAAAATACCACCAGGACACAGCCAGTTGGATTCCATAAGATTTCTTCGCTGCCTACTCTGCCAACACTTTGACAAGCTGGGACAGGAAAAAAGGCCATGTCTTGGATGGATGGATATAATTTCTTCTTCAAATGTCATTATGGTTCATTTCCTTCTGCTGTAACCGTGTGGTGTGGTGACAGGTGAAGTGACAACAGGGCAAAATTGGAAGACTGCAAGAGGAAGTGGCTTTTAAATCTTTTCAAATAGTCACAATTTCATAGGGCTCAGCCTCTAAGACAGACTGGGTGAGGAAGCAGAAGACTGTGGCTGCTTCATAAAAGAAAAAATAAAATATTTAAGAGATCTTAGTTTTCTTTCTCTCTTCTCCATTCTTAGCATTATGGGAGGCTTACTCTGGATTTCTGACACCCTCACAATTTGGGATGTTCACATAAGGAATTTCTATTCTCTGTAGCAGGAACTCTGCACTCAGGAAGTTTTCCATGGCTCCAAGGTTACAGCAACCTTTGCAGGCTGATTTCTGAGGTGTGTTCTGATCCAGGGTGCACTGCAGAAGTACCATCACAAACCAGTTTAAGGGGATGCTGGTAATGTGATTAAGGGACAGTAAGTGGGTGGCTGTTACATTGATTTTTCTTCAACCATTTCAATTTCAAGGAACACATGAAAGAGAATGCTAATTTTGTTGTTGCTGTCGTTTACTTTTATAACTCCCTGTACTACATAAACTCAAAGGAATGAAAATGTGCAGTAGACTTTTCTTATGCTCAACTCTATCAAATCCCAGAGGATGTTTAAAAGAAGACTTCAAAAATTGCAGGGGGGGGTATCTGTTGTTTCTCAACTATTTCTTCATCTCATATGCTCAGAGACATAACCTGATGTGATTTTGTGATGCATTTCAATTGGGGAACTCTCACTCATCAGGATTTATCGTTGCAGCTCAGTTGTTACCTGTGCCTCCTCAGGAAGACTGTAATATTTTTCATGGCAAGTGGATTGCCTGGGATAAATACCTGACTCTTAGTTTGTTGGCAGGGAAGGTCAATAACAACCTTTATAGAATCTTTCCATAAAAGGTGACAATAAATAACAGTTTAACCTCTAATCTATATTAACAGACTACCTTTATTTATTGTTTGACTTGTGCAGAGACAGAGATAGGTAATCCAAAAGGAGCAGCCACAATAGCAGGTAATGACCTTCTTTTACAAGAATGAGCAAAACCCATTTCACTTCAGCATCATGCACGCGGCTATTTTGCAAAGAAACACTGTGTGTTAGTTGTTGAAACTTTTTCATGCATTCCCCGAAACAAACTACACTATTCTGAATATTTTCTCCTCTGTGCAGTAAATAAAGTCTTTCGTGTTGACAATGCTAATATTATATTTTAAAATATATTTGCATTTGTGTTTTTTGTCATTTTTATTGCATTTTATAAATCTCAGAGCAAAGACCCACTAAGCTCACTGAGAAAGCCTCGTTTCTTGGGATAGCATCATGCAGGGACACAGGTGATCAGGTGGGATTTCAGTGGGGGGTACTGGCTGGGTCTGTGGGGACCTTATTTCAACCAGAAGCGTGGGTAGGAGTTCAGAGTACAAGTCAGGAAGGTTAATTTTGAGCGGCTTTTAAAATGGAATGATTTCACATGAGTGATTTTCAAGGGTAAATATTCATAATGCAAAGTAATCTTAATATATTTTAGTCAAATTAGTGCATTAAACTATTAGATAATTGTGGGAAAGTTGGGAAGGCGGAGCAAGACAATAATTTTATCAGTATTTATAATTCTGGGATATAACAAGTCCACTATGGCATTTGGGGGTAGAATAAGGAATTACTAGTAAACATTATTTTTAAATTATGCACATATTGTGTTCTACCTAATAAATATTTTCTAATGTATGGAAAAATACATATAATTAAGTTGTTTTTACTTACATTTATGTTTCAGTAATGCACAAGACAAATAATTGGAAAATGCTCTTCAGCCTTAAATCACGTACCTGGAAATAAGAAGGTAATTTTTAGTTACAGGAAAATATCTGCTTGCTATTTAATTTGTCCTTAAATTACATCCTCTTGGTTTAAGAACTCCTTAAAAGATTATTCAATTCATTTTTCAGTCTCTTTTTTCACTAAGTGAAAGAATTGATTTCTAGATGATTTTTAAAGATTTTTTTCCTCCTCTTCCTACTTTATGAAGCCGTTTGTAACATCAAACGGCAAAAAACTCTCACATGAAGAAACTGAGGTGGCAGGTGAAGGATTATTAGAGTTGTAATTATGTGAGAGAGGTTTTTGAAAACAGAGTGTAACTGGATGTAAATTCTGGGACAGTTTTCTTCGTCTTACTGTAGGAAATAAGAAAAGGAAGCCACAACAGTTCTGAGAACAGAAGATTTTAATTTGTTTTTCAATTACTGAAGGTTTTGATACCAGTAAATGTACAGAGCATGTTTTTTTGACTTATTCTGATTAATAAGAATTGCAACAGACCTGCTCAGTATAGTGGGAAAGGTCAGTGGCAATTTTTGAAAAGAAGGCCTTGGAAACACATTGGCCTTACAAAACAGAGTTATGCAAAACTGCTAGTCTTATTTTCCTCCATTTTTTGCTTTGCACTTCAGCTTTCTGATTCTCCTGTGTTCATTACCTGCAGTATTGTGTGGACCCATTCGAACAAATTCCGTTACTTGGAACAATGAGGTTGAGCATGATTCAAATCCTGAATTAAATGCAAATCTAGCAGCAGAAAAATGGATTTAGTGGTATGACAGGATTTGAAATATAAATATATTGCATTAAATATAAAGTTCAATTAAATAAATGAATATTGTAAGGGCTGCCATTCAAGCTAGCATTGTATCTGTGACTAATTAAACATGTGCACTGTGAGAACAGTGGAGATCACATGCTGGTGCCTTTGGAAGCACACACAATATATATTTTTGCTTAATTTTGGACAAATGGTCAACCTCTGCAAAAGAGAGATGTCCTTTTTTTCAGTCAGCAATGCCGGTTTTGATGCCACAAATATTTAACTTTGTGATTGAAATTGTGAAGTCTTTCTCCAGAACAGATTTACCACAGGACTATTGCATTATTTCTTTGAACTTCAAAACAGAAGAAGAACAGATTTCACATCATATCAGCAGCCAGATAAGTACAATCTTAATTGCAATATCCATGTGGAACAACTTTAAAACTTTATGGCTGTATGGTCCTTTGTGCTAACGTGGATCAGAGTAAAACACAAAGGAGTTGGGCTCCAAACCTGGGGCAATATTCCTACATTTCTGCTTGTTAATGTTGCAATTGCCCCTACAATTCTTAGTTGCATGGGGGAAAAAATGGTGCTGCTATTTTCCTATTCTTTTAATGGGGAAAGGGATTTTTGTTTGTTTTGTTTGCTTTTTGTAAGAAATACTACTTTATACATATACAAGGAAATTCAAATAATTAATTGATGTTTAGAAACACAGAAGACCATTGTGATTTCTTTTCAGTGCAAGCAAATAAATCCCATAGATACAGAAAATGTACTCCTGAGGAAACAAATGGCCCATTTTCATTATGCCAAACAACTTTCTTGACAACTTGACAACATTTGCTGAACAAGATTTTGGCAATAGAATGCTTTAAAAGGCATTTTACAAGGCTATACAATTCAAACTATTTACTCTTAAGTGAAGTATTAGTAGCAACTAGGAAGTAAGGGAAGAGAAGAAAAATGTTTCTTCTGTACGAATCCCTTTGTTTCACTGCTGACAAGGGAAGTGAGTGCAAGCAGGTCGGAATTGCTGGGACTGCACAAAACCAGCACCTTTGCCACAGCCATATGAGAATTGGAGACAAAAATATAATTGCTCAACATTTCCTGAATCATAACAACAGGTCATGGCAGGTCGGAATTGCTGGGACTGCACACAAACAGCACCTGCCTCCCTTTGCCACAGCCATATGAGAATTGGAGACAAAAATATAATTGCTCAACATTTCCTGAATCATAACAACAGGTCATGACTAAATACTGGTCTCCTCTAATTTAAACTCAAGGAGAGCCACATACTTGGATTTAAGTACAAATTCAAACCTTTAGATTTAGCTTGTCTTTCTTCTAAGTAATTCTGTATTTTCTTTAATGCCTCTTCTCAAGTAGAAATAGATAGTGAAATCAAAACTGACTCATGGAGTCCTAGGGAAGGCAAGATTCTGCTTGCAATGCTTTAAAATTTAGTGGAAAACTTCCTAAATATCAGTGACATTTCCAAAAGTGCTGAAGAGTTCTGCTGTGGGATATAAAGGTAACTATCTTGGTTTTAGCTCATCTCTCTTTCAAAGATATTTATCTGAAACTTTGAACAAATTTGCAGCCCCTAAGATAGACAAAATACTGATAACTGTCCAGGATTAAGTAATGCAAAACTAGGCATGATTTTCTTTGAAGGTCATAAAAATTTTAATGTTGCAAATAAATAATATGACCCATTTCTTTATTTGAAATTAATTATAATATTTAATATATTCAGCATACACCACTAGAAAAAGTTATCTGCTCTTTGGATAGATGGGTTCTCTTGTAACACAAAGAAATGCTAATAATGCTGATCCTAAAAAGAAATGGTTTAAAAAATGACACAGTTGAAATTTGAAAATAAATGTGTTCAGGTTTCCACTTATATGCTGCAGTACTTCGAATGATAATATTTAACATATTCAGCATACACCACTAGAAAAGGTTATCTGCTCTTTGGGTAGATGGGGTTCTCTTGTAAGACAAAGAAATGCTAATAATGCTGATCCTAAAAAGAAATGGTTTAAAAAATGACACAGTTGAAATTTGAAAATAAATGTGTTCAGGTTTCCACTTATATGCTGCAGTACTTCCTAATCATGCAACAGTGTCACTTCTGCACACAACAAGCCATCAACTATTTTTATTTTGACCTGAGCCTTCACACAAAGTATTAATTTACTTTGTAGCATAATGGAACCAGGTCTGCTGTCACCACAGAGAGCTGCTGTGCACTGCATCAGAAAGAGAGATGACAGAAATTCCAGCAACAGCAGAATTTAAATGTCTCGCCTGTAATTTTGTTCAGTAGCATCTTTGTGCATCTGACATGTGAAATATGTCTTTAGCTTTTGAGACAACAAATGACATTTGGTTTTGCTAAGAAGGCTTAGCAAGGGAAAGGCACATTCAAAATGTCATTTGTGTTACCACAGAGGTGTCCTCTGAAAATGAGCCTAAATATCTATGGAATATTTTAAAACTTAGAAATTTCTCCAAAAATACCATTAAACAATTCAAGTTTTTTCCATTTTAGAAATGCAGGCAAGTGCTCTCACCTTGTTTTACACATTTATTTCTCTACTATTTTTTACCCAACCCTCCTAATTCAGTGGACTTGGAAAATGCCAAAACATGAACTGATCTCTGAGAGGACAATGAAGAGCACAGCAAAACCTGAGCACATTTCTATCCCATTTCATAGAGTACTAAGTCAAGTGCATTTTGAACTTCCAAAAGTTAAAACGTCCTGTGGCATAGGAGAACTTATTTAAATATCAAAGACCAGTTTTTATGAATTAAAAACATAAACATAGCTGTTTGAAAAGACTAAAAAGTATAATTTTTTCATACATCAATGTGATAATAAGATTTCCTTAAAAACAGATGAACTTCAAATGTCCTTATCATTAGCATGCTGGTATTTTCCAGTACTCATATTTGCTGGCAACCTTTTTGTCCTTCCAGGAGAGAACACTTGTACTTATTTACACAAAATAAAGACAGCTTCACTTTGTAAGTTTAATATTTTGGGCAAGCAGTAATATACCAGTCTGTTAGCCAGTCTTAGCAGGAAATAGTCCTAGTGCTGATCACAATGAGATGACTCGTGGTCTCAGCTCATTTTGAGAAGTTTAGTAAACATGTTATCTCTAGCACAGGGCTGATGTAATGTTTATAAGTTCAATCTGTCCTGTTTTGCCATTGCTGGTGATACTCTTGTTACCAAAACAGCCTAAAAGTGTTTTCTTCATCATAACCTTCTCAAGGTCACATACAGATGATGTTTCATCATGATTAATCTTTGAAACTAATTTTTAAAGAGAAATCCCCCATGCTGTTAAAGCACCTCCCTGAATTTAAAATTTTAGTTCTTCCTATAATAAAGCGTGAACAACTTGATATTACAGAAAGCTTTTAACTCATCATCTGATCTGTAAGTAAAATCCATTTTGCCTGACTAATGAGTATGTCAAATTGTATGGGGGGTATCTATATGACTGCAAATGTTTATTTAACATTATGGTTAGATGAGCATCCATACTTGTTAACATAAGGATCAATACATGTCCTTCAGGACACTTGAGCTAAGGCTGACATAATCACAGAGGAAAAACTTTATGTATAAATTAGAAGGAAAGAGAAAAAACTCTGCAGCCTGAATAACCTGGTTTGTCAAGGTTTGTTAATACTCTTTTACACTCAACACATTTTCCATTTCAAGCTGTCTTTAGAGTGCTTAAGTTGTGACTATGATCCTGTCGCACACACTTTAATTTCTAGGTTTGTATCCTGTGAGTTTAACTGAACTCAGTGTAATCCTGACACTCCAGGCTGCAGTGATTCCATCCCCTCTGTACTGACAAGGGGGTCTCTGCCCATGTGTCACCATCTGGGCCTGACTAGACATGCTGCAATGGAAAATCAACCCAGCTCCTCAGTCCTTAGCTGGCCTGTGTCAGGAGGTATTGTTTGTAGCAGTGTTCCTTTAATCCCTCTTCACCTCAAGGAAGAAGTTATAACTGAATGTGCACATCAGGAAGATCTGATGGATAGGGAAGTACAATTTTTAGTAATTTTCAGAATAAACCAAAACTTTTGAATTTCTCAGCATTATACATGTATAGAATATTTATTATATGGAAGCTCACTACTGCTCTCATGCCTCAGTGCAGCAGGGATGAGTAGGAAGTCATAGAGTAAGTTCTGTCTTAAAGATCTCAGGAACTTCTCTAATTACCTCCATAGACAGAAACTTCCCAAGACAGACTTTCTTGGATTGTGCAAATGTCTTTGTTTTTTTTTTTTTTTTTTCCTACCTTTTGTCTGTGATTAAGGTCCTCAGGAACTTCCACTAGGAAGATGCCCATGACAACTTAAGGGAGAGCATCCAGCACCTGTTATTTGCTACGTACACCATCTTTTATCATTTTTCACAGCTGTTTCAAAAGCTGGGGTTCCAGGTCTATGTCTAAACCAACACAACTTAGCTCTGTGTCTGATATTTGAAAGGGTCAGAGTTGTGCCACTTCAGAAGCACTGAATATGCAGTAAGAGAATGAGAACAAGTAAACAAAATGCTCCATTGCCAAGAAAGAGAAACTGATATGACAACTTGTATAACTTATTATTACTAATTATGCTTATCTAAATATTACTGTACCAGAAAAAAAATCTTATCTTAAACAAAGCCATAGAAACAGTTGCATAAGAAGTTTCAGTAATGCAATACTGGCTGCTTTCAAGCCTACGATGTCTGCAGACATGTCTACCAATTAGATCACCCAAATATGTGACAAGCCCAGATAATGTGCTAAAATCACATTACATTTTACTTCTTTGCAGCACTAGCACTGAAAACTAGAATTTTGCTTTTACAGAGTCACTATATAACATTTCTGCAAAACCAAATTTGTCTCTGTTAAAATCAAATATCTTTTTTTTTTACTCTTATCAAATTCTGTGACAGAAACAACTGGTTACTAGTTAATAATGCAACAATACTGCATATTATTTGATTCTTATTCTGATAGATTTCTCTAGTTTGGATATAAAAATGCAAGCATAGAAAGAGATTTTAGATCCTCACTCTGTAGTACAAGTGTGAATATACAAGTTTTTTATTAAAGTGTACTTTAGTGAGAACTTTTTAAAATAATAACATTTTGCCTCCCATCTTTTTCAGTCTCAGCTCTGGAACAGGAGTGTCCTGACAATGCCCATGTGTCCAGTCTGAACCAGCAGTAAGTGTTGTTACTGAAGGTAATTTCCTGCTTCTTCAGTTTGGTACCAACCCAGACCAACCTTGTTTAGCCTGAAATCAGACAGTGCTGGAGTTCAGGGTCATATGGCTTCAAGCAAAATGAATGGACCAAGTCATTAAGCTGAATGTTTTGTGTAATTGCAGTTTAAAAAGAATCATAATAAGTAAAACAGCTCAGTTTGCAATTGCTGAGTTCACAGCTGCTGCTTTTGTCTATTGATGCATTGTCCTACTGCACACAAAAATTTGAGCTTTCCTGTCTTAAGACTGCAACGCACTGGTTCAGAGAAATAAGGCACGGGGGAGGTTAGAATAGAAGAGCTGAAATGCAGAACACAAATAAACAGATACTCTACAGCTCCTCCTAAACCTGTGCTTAGGCTCACACCAGACACATTTCACTGGGATATCAGCAGATATTGAAATTCAGTGTGCATGAGCAATGTTCCCATTTAATGTTAATTTGTCAAGACAGGAAAACCAGGAACTTTCTATGAATTTCTGAAAACCAATAAAGCTCGTATGAAAAGTGTCTGAATCTCAACAGCACCTCTATGACAGCTTTTGCATGTGAGATGTCTGAGAAAGTTTTCCCTTGGTGTCCACAGAAAATCTGAAAAGCACTGCTCTACACTGCTCCACAGATTGCAGAAAAATTCCAGCTAGAGTACACCTGGCTTATGAAGTCACACATCAACATGTCTGTGTATACATTGCCTCAAAGAAATCCCTGGAGAACTGAGATGCCCCTGAGACATAAATATAGAACAGATACTTTTAAAAATGCCTGTTTGTTACCAGTTGTCATCATGGCCCTAGTTCTGAGAGTCCCCACAGAAATTTTGCTTATTTCTTCATGGAAAGGGCTGTTGAGCCCTGGCAAAGGCTGCCCAGGGAAGTGCTGGAGTCCCCTTTAATGGAGGGATGTAGCAGACACATGGATGTGGCACTTGGGAACATGATTTAGTGGTGGCCTTGCCAGTGCTGGATTAATGGCTGGACTCAGTGATCTTGGAAGTCTTTTCCAACATAAAGTATTCTATGATTCTTTTTATCTATTACTCCTCTCTCTAGTAAACAGACCTTTACTGAGGGAATATACGAGAGCAACATCATGGGAGAGATGGGCAGCAGCTGAACACAATTCTCTAGTCAGTATTTATTTTACTACAATTATGCACCAATATCCTAAGGCACAAGGACACGTGTTAATATTTTCAATTTGCAGGTCTCTAAGAAATTTGGAACAACACAAGTGAAAAGGTGTTTCCAACCTATTGAGCAAAAGTTAAAAGGCAGGAAAGTTGAAGAGTCACATGGCCTTGAGGAATAAGGCAAAGCTACTTTGCATTAGGGAAAGGAAGGAAGTTGAACTCAGTTAAGTTCTTGCCACAAAAAAGAAAAAAATTTTGTTTGTGAAAAATAACAGTGTTGGTCAACAGGATTAATTTTCAAGAAGAAGCTTATGCTTTTTGTCCCAGCAGACCTGCTTTTAAAACTATTTTAAAATGTATTATTCCATACTCAAATACTCAAAATCAAACTCAGTCAAGCTCTTGATCTTAGGTGGGGTTGTTTTTTTTTATTTTTGTTTTGTTTTGTTTTGTTTTGTTTTTTTTGTTT